CCCTCGTGGAGGGATTACCAGCGGTGACACGATTTGATCACCGTGTCCAATCAGCGCTGAAAGAGGCCAGGGCGTGCTTAGAGAAAGCACGAGATAGGCAGTCAAAGCATGCTGACCGCCATCGAAGAGAGGTGTCGTTTAGTAAAGGAGATGGCGTCCTCCTTTCGACACAGCATATTACTCTCAAACACCCTGGGACTCGAAAACTATTACCGAGGTGGATTGGGCCCTTCACCATCCTCGACCGGATAGGTTCTGTCGCATATCGACTAGAACTCCCGGAAAGCATGCATAGGATACATCCGGTATTTCATGTATCGAAGATTAAGCCTTATAAGGCAAGTGGCAGAGTACAGCCACCCCCAGTACCTATCGAGATCGAAGGTGAACTGGAGTATGAAGTTGAACGTATCCTTGATAAAAGGATTAAAAAGCGTGGGAGACGCAAAAACTATGTTGAATACCTTGTCAAATGGCTGGGATATGGACATGAGCATAACAGCTGGGAATCAGCAAAGTCAGTTGCAAATGCACAGGAATTGGTTCAAGCATTTGAAAATGGCCGAACACCTGTGATGCGAATGCAAACTGCATGAAGTACGGGATGTACATACTGAAACATGCTCATGTGTGCTTATGCTTTTGACAGGTTCTCTTGCGCTGGGCCCAGAAAAACACTGGGTATACTGCCCCCCGTGCAAGGTCGCGGTTTGGACACATGAACGCCATGTCCGTTGCGATCCTCAACGGGGAGAGGTTGGAGACCGCCGACCCCTACGTGCCATTTCCCCGTGCGCCTGAGCGTGCATGCGGACGTGGGCGACGGCGGGGTGCCGCACCGGGCCGATCTGTACTGGCGTGGGCGGCTGGTGGTACTCGGCATCGTGGTCGCCGATGAAAGGCCGGGAGGTCAAACATTTCCAGCCACTTGGCTGAGGAAGAGTTTTAATGAGGGTTGTGAAGGCCGGGACGGTCATGTAAAACAACCACTCTTTCTCTTCATCAAAAACTGTTTTGTGTGTTGTGTTTTGTTAACTGGGCATGTGGCAAATCGCACAGCCAGTTCCACCAACATACATACAATGTTTCTGCTCCCGTATCCACTTATACTGGGACGAGGACGCCCCTCTCCCTGAGGGGGACGAATGTTACGCGCACCAGCCTGATGTGGGAGACGTCCTACTAATAGCCCTTGGTGTGGGGGACGCCCTGCCCAAGGCACGTACTATTCCTCACCCACTGTAACCTTTATCCATATTAGGATACGGGAGTAGGAGGGGTGGTCCCGCCTAGGTGCCCTGTAAGGACCTAGGTGCCCGGCGAGGCGGGTCCGCGGCTCAAAGAGGGCAGGAACCCCACACCCACATCCTATTCGTAACACATAGGTCGTTTATCAAATGAAGCAGCAATATGACAAACAGGAAAATTAACGAGCCGCTGACCCTACACTGGTAGCAAGAGGATGAAACACACATTTTCAATAATATTGAATGCACGCATTTAAAGCCATATTCAATTGCGAATGCATGAGTGATTGTAAGTGTGGCAAGATGCACCAAACAAGTTAAGATTCGAGTTCACTCTGCTAAAAGTAGCTGAGTTTCATGCATTCATGTGAGGACTATGTATGTTTAAGCATATTTCACTAACAGTATGCCCTCAACCCTGATGTGCACAGCGGGATGCCCATGTCCATTCCTAGTTGGGACCAAGATCCATGGGCATACATAATGCAATGCTCATCGTGCGCGAGTGAGCAAATCCTACTCGTAGTTGTTGTTCATCGCGATTTTAACATTTAGTGAGTGCATTTGTGGCATTAGGTGCTGCTCTGAGTGGCTTTTCTTTGATGCACGCATTTTTCATGGACCATGCCAAATATCCACAAGGGCAGTGTCGTGATGGTCACAAGTGTCCACCAAGGCAGTACAGTAGGGGTCCCTATATAGCAGCCCCCCCCCCCCCCATGATATGGCCAAAAGGGGGGCGCTGTTGGGGGCCGGGGTTGCTATTGTGTTAAGGGGGATACACTAAGTAGCCGGTGTAGAGGGTACCCTGGGTGCTGGTGTAGGGGGTACACAAGTTGCCTATATAGGGGGTACCCTGGATGCCGGTATAGGGGGCATGCTACACCCGGCCTACCGGGAGCATGCTGGCTTTTAGTGTCAACGACTTAGTTGTAGCGCCGAAGTTGCTGGCGCTGGGGCCTGTCGCAGAGAAATAAAGTTCTACGGGAATGGTGACAAGCGAAATTCCGGTAAACTAAACCGAGCATGTAGAGTATATTCCTCGCCCCCAAAAGTGTACAACTTTGAGGTCCCACTACGCAACAAAATTGCATAAACTACTACAAAGATGGTGACAAGCCAAAAAGAGGGCGCTATTGGAGGGGAGCTGCATAGGGACCCCTAATGTGACATGTTGTGGATCCAAGAAGCAGTGGTGCAATCATGCTGCCCAGCATTTTGCTGTTGGATGTTCGAGCCGCATCTTGCCTTGAAGCTGACAGGCTCGCCAACTCATGTGATGTCACAATCGTGTCACATAACGCCTCAGCGCCACTTCATCCCGCAGCTACAGTTGTCGACAATGAGACTTAGTTCTTGTCCCATTTCTTTTGCACGTCGGATATTGGGCGCTTGCACCTTTTACTCCCAACCCGGCACAGTCAGATCCAATCTCCCTAAGCCATGGAAATACAGGCTTACCAGCGCTCAGAGTGTTCATATGAGCACGTTGTCAATTGGCCCTTGGAACCTTTCACACAACCGTGGGGGTTGAGCAGAGGAGGTGGGAAACGGCGCTGCCATGGATGCGCAAGGGACAGACATTCCACTTTTTTACGGCCTCCCTCAGGCCGCGGTCGGTGCCCGGAAAGTGACAGAAACCGTGTCACCTACACTAGCACAGTTCCCAGGTGCGGCGCCATGTGATGCCCGCATGAGTCGGCGGGCTGGGACGTCGCTCCACGTTCTTCTGGGCCCACTGCGCCCTGGATGTACTAGATGTCGCCCGAGGGCTGGGCGCACACGGCAAATGTGCGCCCGAGGGCTGGACTACATCACCCCCGGGGATTGATGTCCGCCCGAGGGCGCGAAGCGCCCGAGGGCGGACATCATCCCCGGGGGTGATGTAGCCAGCCCGAGGGCGCACATTGCCGTGTGCGCCCAGCCCGAGGGCTACATCGTGCAACTCGCCCGTCACCCCGCCGACCTGGCAGCGGATGTCACCATCACTGGGGGCCGCCGCAGTATTATAATCATCAGGTTTTCGGGTGGGCTGCTGATTGCGAGGCTGCAGCCCTAGCGAGGGCAGCGCCATGGCCCCTGCCTGGTTGCTGCGGGGGGTGCGGGCTGCGAGGGCGAGAGGGCACCATGGGCGCCAGGATGCGGGGTGGGGTGCGCGGATGCGGGCTGCGCGGATGCGGGCTGCGTGGATTCGGCCCTCCAACATCGGGATCCCAATGCGATGCCGCCCTCCGGAGGGCAGCGCCGGCGGGGGATTGCGGGGCGCGGAAATCGGAAGGGCACCTCCTGCGTGGGACGCGGGTCGCACTGCGAGGCTGCCGGGCTGAGCGTGGTGAGGGCAGCGGCATGGCCGGCGAATGAGTGCGGGCGCCAGCAATTGTCTGCGAGTGAGTGGGACGCGGGTTGCGGGTTACCCCGTTACCCAGCGAGGGCAGCGCTATGGCCGTGCAGGCTATTACGTGGGACGCAGGTTGCGGCATGGACACTGGTGCCTGGGATGCGGGTTGCAGGGAGGAAGAGCGGCGCGGGAGGAAGAGCAGCACGGAAAGTTTCAGGTGAGTGGGCCCCATTCTGCAGTTTCCGTGTCGTGCAGTTGCGGTGAATGACGAGTTGAATGTCGAGATCGTGGGTAGGGCCTTCGGGGCGAAGGGTCTGTCAGCCAAGGTGGGAGGTGTTTGCGTTGTGTGTGGGGGGGTGTTTGCACGGAAGCCGGTTGGTGCAGGGGCGAGAGGGAGGGGGATGATCTAGGAGGTATCAAGCATTGTTGGTCGCGGCGCCGGACGCAAATTTCCTGCCAGGCCGGTCATGCCGTTGGTGGCCATGGCAGCGCGCAGTCGAAGGCGGGGGCTGGGGCGATACGGCCCGCTGTGCGAGGAGGGTCGAGGGGGATTGATCTGGGAGGTATCAAGCGTTGTTGGTCGCGGCGCCAGACGCAGATTTCCTGCCAGGCCAGTCGTGCCGTTGGTGGCCATGGCAGCGCGCAGGCGGAGACAGGGGGCTGGGGCGATGCGGGCCGTTGTGCGAGGAGGGTGGAGGGGGCAGGCCAGGGTCTGGGGGCGTGGGCGGGTGCGGCATCCAGCCGCGCTACATATTTTGCCTATTTCAGGGGAGGGGGGGCGTCGGCCAATCAGCGCTCTACATATTTTGCCTGTTTCGGGGAAGCGGGGGCGTCAGCCAATCAGCGCGCTACATATTCTGCCTGTTTCGGGGGAGCGGGGGCGTCAGCCAATCAGAGCGCCGTATGATAGTAGGGTTTGGACGGAGCGGGAGGGTCAGCCAATCAGCGTGCCAGTAGTTGGAGTGTATGGGGTAGTTGGAGCGCCTGCGCCTGCGCCTGCGCCTGCGCCTGCGCCTGCGCCTGCCCCTGTGCCCTGCACCTGCGGCTGCGTTTGGCACGTGTGGGTGAGCACCAAGTACCCGCATTCTGAGTCGCTTCCGTCTTTGCGATCCAATTGTCCGGTGAGCCAAGATTGGCTTCGCAGCAGTTGGGAGGGCAAATAGTAGCCCAGATCGTCCGTCTCGCCTGCTTCTTCGTTCTGCGGCACTTGGTCCCATTCGCGCAGCGACCAGTTGACCCAATCATCACCCATATTGCTGACTATGTTGGTGTATTGTTTGCAGGTCAACGGCGCGAACAGGGCAACCTCGATCGCAGGTCGCGGTGGGTCAGTGGCGCGCCAAAACATGTTTTGGTGGGAGACGATGCTGGCGGACGCTGCAGCGACGGCACGGTGGCCCCCCCATTCCATGGTCTAACCCACGGTCTCGTGGACCACGAGCGCTGGAAAGGGCTGGATGATGTAGCGGGCAGGCCGGGAGGAGGGGGGGCGGCGGCAAGGGCGGGTGATGTAGCGGCCGGGCGGGGGGCGGGGCCGGGGAAAGGGCGGATGATGTAGCGGGCAGGCGGGGGGCGGGGCGGGGAAAGGGCGGATGATGTAGCGGGCGGGGGGGTGGGGGACGGGAAAGGGCGGATGATGTAGTGGACAGCCGTTGTGGAGGGGGAAATGTAACGAACTTGCAGTGAAGAGCTAATGTACTAGCATGCGGGGGGGAGGGCGAGTTGTTGTGGTTTTCCTTCCATTCGTCGATCGATCAACGCACACAGAGTCTGGGGGCCGTTCCAGAGCGGAGGTGCGCAGTTGTGATGGAGATCTGGTGTGGTCTCCGGTGTGTCGCAGGCCCATGGCGCGCTTCCATCTACCCCGGAGGCGCCCCTGTCGCCCGTTGGAAAGGGCGGGACAAGCGGCAGGAGCCCGAAGCAGCGGAGGGCGGATCGCGTCGTCAAGAAAGCAGTTCGCCGCATGCAGGGCGGCAAGTCGGCTCCTCCGCAGGGGTCAGACCCACAGGCTTCTGCTTCGCAGGCGCCTGCTCCACCACCGCCTCCAAGCCCCACGCCTGCGGCGGTTGGCACTGTGAGTTGCAGCGGGAGTGCAGGGGAGTTTCTGCGACAAGAAGTGTCGTGACTATGTTCCGGCCATTTTGGCGACGCTGCTGAGCGAAGAGCCCTTGTTCGGGCAGCACGCGAATCATTTTTTGCGGCCGCAAACGCCCCTGGCCATGTGGTGTTCTTGACGATTGGATTATTGCTCCATCCTAATTGCAGACAACCACCACTGCCCAAGTCGCCAGCTCCCCCGGGGGCGGCGGCAGCTTCTGGAGCCGGGCCGTGGCCAGCCGGCCTGCTAGGGTACGGTGCAGCGCTGGGAAGCGGCAGATCGGCAAGCGCGGCATCGGCAGCAGTACGGCCCTCTACCCCCTGCCCACCCACAAGGCGCGAGGCGAGCGAGAGGACAAGCACAAGAGGGGCGTGGAGACAGGCAGGGGTGTGGCCAAGAAGGTCAAGAAAGGCAGCGCTCGTAAGGTAACTGACCGCACCGACCAGCCCGCGATCGCCTGAGCTCCTCTGCTGAGAGTGACGGAGTGTTCTTAGAGCAGGGCGCCCCTGACCGCCTTTTCTCCTTTACTTTTCCGTTACGTGCAGATGGACCGGGAGCCGATCATGTATGACGGGTGGGCTCCAGGCGTCACGTTCCGGGTGGACAACGGCTGGTGGTACGCGGAGCTGCCCGGGCCGCGACTCAACCAGCCGGGGCCCGAGGACTTTTTCGATGTGATCATGCACGAGGCGGACGGCACCCCAATCGTCCACTGCCAGGGTTGCGTCCCAGGCAAGTCCGCTCTCTTTCCGCCTGGTGGCTCATCCTGGCGCAGCCGCACCAATGCACCTGCGGCTCCTGCGCCTCTGACTTTTAAGCCATTCCGCTGTCTCACACCGCACCTCGCCCTCGCTGTTTTGTTCGTAGGCGACCTGTACGGCGTGGTGCCGCGATGAGCGGCTCGCTCCCCGCGCCTCCAATGCACTGGAGGCTGGAGGCACCACGGAGGGGCGATCTTGGCGCCGGCACGGCTGGCGCGGCACCGGGCGCGCCTGCAGCGGGGCTCACTGCTTCGATGCCGGAGCTGCCAATGGAGACGCCAGGGGCCCTCCGTGCCCTCCGCGCAATGCATGGGCGCGGCCACGGGCGGTTTCGGGCAACAAACCTGGATGGGGATGTGGGAAGCGGGAACGGGGACGCGCCTTCATGGGGCTTGGCAAATCGCGGCGGCAGAGTGACGACTCGCGTCACGCGCCGCAATGCGTCGGGGCCATCAACGGGGCGCGCCTGGGTGGCAGTAGACGTCTTTTCTTATGTTTTATTCTGGGACGGGTGGCCAGGCGGGCAGGAAGGTAGGGGGGGCAGGCGGGTGGGGGGTTGGGGCTGCGTTGCAGCCAGAGGGTTCCCACGCACGGGGTGGAATTGGGGACTTCATTTGAAAGGGGTGAAGGGCGCACTCTTCGCCCCTGCTCACGGTTGTTTCCCATCACGTAGTGGAACATCCCACGGGGGGCAGAGAGGCGCGTCAGTGCGGCGCGCGGCAGGTGTTGGCGGGAAAGGATGTTGTTCGCAATCACGGCGTCAGCCCGGTGGAGGAGGGCAAGGAGCTGAGGCTCCTCATCACGGCTGGGGATTGCTTCGGGTGTGTCATGGAAGACAGGAAGTAAATCGGTAAGTTCCAACTGGGCATCTGGCAAGTTCCCCTCATATCGTACTTGTTTTGGGTGCCATGGCGATGCGATGCCATCTGGTGTGGGTAATTGTGAATTAGCGATTTGGAGTCGGAGAGAACTTGCTACGAAGCCATGGACATAGACAAGTCATTGCAGTGCTGCATGGAAATTGACATTTGGGTTTAATGTTATTCTGACACAATGGGCACGACAGTGCTGCCAGGAGTTGTGAGATGCAAAGCCTGCTGGCTGCATCTCAATCAAGCAACTCGATATTGATACGCCACTCTTACTGGTCACTCTATCGCAAGACAACTATGCATAAGTGCGCATAGTTTTAGTGTTAACCCTGGGACTTGCCTTGGGAACGTATCCTCCATCTTGAGTGCATGAGAGCATTGAGGCTATGATCTGTTGTGCTGGCAGGACGGGCCCCTCCCAGGAGTCCAGGGATGGCGGGGCGCAGAGGCGACATTTGGAGCTGGTGTGGCGCTGCCCCCACAGGAGCTCGCGTGCCTACCAGCAAGAGGCCTTCTCCGCGAGCAAGGAGGCCCACCATACGCGATGCAGCAGGTCCCCACTCTGCAGACTCGCCACCGCTATCGTCAGCCATTCCCAGCGAATCTGGCCACAATCAGGTGTACAACAGAACACAGGGAATTTCCCAATCTGCAACATCATTCGTGCATGCGTGCATTCGCGCCATGCCCAACCTTGCCAGCTTCACAAAATGGAGTCATTACACAAGTCCCCTGTCTTCTTTACTCTCTGAGCTCGTCTTTCCCATCAGCTGCATCGGGGATTTGTTCAGCCCCACATTTTTGCCATCAAGAATAGCACACTCTTCAACCCCAAGTTGTCGACGCACTCCCCCGTTTTCAGCTCAGGGCGGTCTCTTGACCAGTCCCACATCACGACTAGCAGTGGATCCGTACAGCAACGCTTGTTCCCAGGGCTATTCCAAATCGTTGTACCCTTGGGAAACGGATCCAAACTATTAACCTATCCTCTCCTCCCAAGCATCACTTAAACTAAATCTAATTAGTCGTTTCACGAACCTGTCGGCAGTACTGCCTTTCAAAACTGCAACACAACCAAACTTCTCCCGATGCTTCCGCAAGGTGCAGCAGACAAACTTGCTTTTACTTGTAAATTTGTCTGGCCTTGGAGCGGCCGTTGTGCTTCACCAAATGGAACGAAAGTGGGCACTGTCGCATGCTATTCGCCTGGAACCTTTTTTTTCATCTGCGGGATCTCCTCATTGTACGCCCTATTCACAGGTTTCAGCTGACTTCTTTTCTCTTCGTACCAACGCACCGGTGCCCTCCATACCTCAATCCTAACTGGTCTGTGGTTCTGGGTTACCCAGTCAATCATCGTCTGTCACAAGCCTGACACAAATCCCGCATTCAGTGTAGGGCCAACGTAACATGTCAACGTCATGTCTTCCATCCCTATTTGTGACAACACCGTATGCAACATACAGCATGGCATAGGCTGAGCCATTCAGCCACATTGTGCCTTCCATTGTCGCTTGTCCCAACACCACAAACAATGCTCTCGTTTGCTATTCACCATTTGCAGCCTGGGGGTTGGATTGTTTGATGACCTTACAATGATGTGTGGAGTTCGGTGGCAAACGTTCCAAAATCCTTCAAGCCTCATCTGCACACACGACAAAGGGTGACTTCATCTACATCACTGCTTCTGTGGAACATGCCTAACTACAAGCTGGATAATTTTCAACACTAGGGAGGCAACACCAGGTCTTGTACCAATAGCTAAGAATTAATAAGGTAGAATACGAAAATCCCAAATATTAAACTGGGACAACCCTAAGCTGTAAAATGGCTCCAGAATCCTAAATGGTACCAACAAGGTATTCTTTGGTACAGACTTCAACGCTGTTTTCTTATCAATGGCTTAATACCAGATTTCATATTGCCTGGTTCGACATTTCAATGCTTTCCTACGACACTGATTGGTGACAGTTGCTCAGTATTACCATTCACTGCTATTCCACTAGACGTATTCCAGGATGCGCATGAAGAGGCTCATGATGCCTGTCTTCCAAAATTCAGAGCACTGTGGAAGACTTTCTCGGACAACATCGCAAACAACAGAAGTGACCAATAGCCACACAACAGACTTCCAGAAGCCACCGCTTCTATGCTTCTGCAGTCCAGGTGCTTTCCTCATCCCTGCAATGTTCACTGCTACATGACTATTTCATGGCACTTGGAAACATCCAGATCCCCATTCTCAACTGGAAAGAGTCAAAAGGCCGTGCCAGGAGGAGGCCCCTTGCCTGGCATGTTCTCCTTTCTGTAGCATACAACATCGATCTTGATCACTTGAGGAAACTGGGATGCATTCCGCAATTGGTTCAGGATGCAGAGCACCTGAATCCCAGATCTGTTCCAACACAGGTTGGCGATCGCAGCGAAACTTGCACTTACACCCGTCACAAGCAGTTTCCCCCACCCTGTCACTGCCTGGCGCCGTCCAGTGTTCGACCTAGCTAAGGAGACCAATAGCCGAACGGGTGGCGGGGCGGCCACGCGGTAACCCGTAGCTGACACTGTACAAATTTATTCGTCGCCGCAGCCCCGACGGCAGGGCAGACGATCTCCAAAACCAAAGAAACTCCGCGGCAAAAATCCATCGCAAGCCTGGAACGGATTGGCGTCGCCCGCGCATGGCTGCAGCCCAGCTGCGCCCGTCCAAAGAATGTTTATTCTGCTCAGCAGGGTCCGAGAATTCTTGCACCTTCCCAGAGTACGGCCGCCTCGGCGGCAGCTGTCCATACCCCCGGCAACAATTCCAAAAATTGACACGCCCGCAACCGCCGCGTTCCCCCCAAGGGGCGCGGCGCTGATGCTCCCCCGCCTAGGACGGCTGCGCCGAGGGCACGCCTCCGCAGCACACCAGCCTGTCGAGCCAACAGCGCAACCTCCCCCTACGGCCCGCCCCGGGGCTCGCCTCCCCCTCCTCCGACCCCACCGCCCCCTCGAACCCCTCGCTCCCGCCCGACAGCCCGCCGATCGCCGCGATCGACCTCCCGTCCGTTTCCCTGCTGTCCTCGTCGTAGAACGCCTCCGGCCGAACCTTGTCAAACTCGCCCACCACCCTGAGCTGGCCGGGCCCCATGCCCGCCACCTTGAACGACACCTCCGCCACGCTCACCCCGCCCGCCTCGCTGCCGCCCTCAGTCCCGTCATCTTCACCCACCACGCCCTCCCGCGCGTTGCACGTCGGCAGGCACAATCCCCTGCGACTCCCCCCGCGCCCCCAGAACCCCCTCCTGACCCCCGCCTCTCCGCATTCCCCCTCTCCGCTTTCCCCGCTCCCCTGTCCCGCGAGCCCGCTCCTCACGGCCGCCTTCCACTGCCCCAGCTCCCTGGGCGTGTCCGTGACGATCGCGCTGTCGTCCGCCATCGCCACGGCATCCCTGAGCCCCCCATCCCCCCCCTCCTCCTCCTCCTCCGCGCCCCCGCCATCCTGCATGCTCAGATAATCCCTCAGGCGCCCCTCCAGGGAGTTCCTCTTGGTGATGGACACCACCGTGGGCGCCAGGTAGCCAGGCCCCGCGCCCAGGCGCGGCGTGCGCGCCCCGCTGCCGGCCTCGCCGGAGCCGTCCCGATCGAAGGACACCGGGCTGCTGCGGCCCCCCCGCCCGCGATCCCCCGTCTCCTTGTACACGTCCTTCAGCTTGCGCTCCAGGGCGCGCACGGCAGGCGGCGCCTGGCCCACCATCTCCGCATCGTAATACCACTCGTACATCCCTGGGGCCGCCGGGGAGGCGTGCTTCTGCGCCAGCGGGTTTCTCCCGTCCCCTTCATTGCGCGCGGCGGCCATTTTTGTCATGCACCGCGTGTGCCTTGGTGTGGCCCCTTTGGTGAGCGGCCTGGCGCTCGTGATTGCCCGCCGGTGGCTGCACAGGCCCAACCGGCTGTAATTTTGACAAGAGGCTGCCCGCGCCCCGCTCCGGCCAGGGCTCAGGCAGGTGCCGGCGCCGCCGCCAGAACGGGCCCAGTGGGCGACCCCCCGCGGGCCGCTCGACAACGACTGGGCGGGCGGAACGGTGATGCTTGTCACTCGGGCGTTGAGCCCATCGTCTGACGCTTCCTTGGGATTGGTCAAGCTACCACACCTCCTTGGGTGACTGTGGGGCGCCCCAAGGTGCGTGTGTGGACGGCTGTGGCCCGCCGTGGTCCTGCCACCCGCCACGCGGAACGCCAGCCGGGGATACGACATGTACTAGATGTCGCCCGAGGGCTGGGCGCACACGGCAAATGTGCGCCCGAGGGCTGGACTACATCACCCCCGGGGATTGATGTCCGCCCGAGGGCGCGAAGCGCCCGAGGGCGGACATCATCCCCGGGGGTGATGTAGCCAGCCCGAGGGCGCACATTGCCGTGTGCGCCCAGCCCGAGGGCTACATCGTGCAACTCGCCCGTCACCCCGCCGACCTGGCAGCGGATGTCACCATCACTGGGGGCCGCCGCAGTATTATAATCATCAGGTTTTCGGGTGGGCTGCTGATTGCGAGGCTGCAGCCCTAGCGAGGGCAGCGCCATGGCCCCTGCCTGGTTGCTGCGGGGGGTGCGGGCTGCGAGGGCGAGAGGGCACCATGGGCGCCAGGATGCGGGGTGGGGTGCGCGGATGCGGGCTGCGCGGATGCGGGCTGCGTGGATTCGGCCCTCCAACATCGGGATCCCAATGCGATGCCGCCCTCCGGAGGGCAGCGCCGGCGGGGGATTGCGGGGCGCGGAAATCGGAAGGGCACCTCCTGCGTGGGACGCGGGTCGCACTGCGAGGCTGCCGGGCTGAGCGTGGTGAGGGCAGCGGCATGGCCGGCGAATGAGTGCGGGCGCCAGCAATTGTCTGCGAGTGAGTGGGACGCGGGTTGCGGGTTACCCCGTTACCCAGCGAGGGCAGCGCTATGGCCGTGCAGGCTATTACGTGGGACGCAGGTTGCGGCATGGACACTGGTGCCTGGGATGCGGGTTGCAGGGAGGAAGAGCGGCGCGGGAGGAAGAGCAGCACGGAAAGTTTCAGGTGAGTGGGCCCCATTCTGCAGTTTCCGTGTCGTGCAGTTGCGGTGAATGACGAGTTGAATGTCGAGATCGTGGGTAGGGCCTTCGGGGCGAGAAATTGGGGAGGGGGGAGAGGGGGGGGGGGGTGCATTGTGGTGGGAGGTGTTTGCGTTGTGTGTGGGGGGGTGTTTGCACGGAAGCCGGTTGGTGCAGGGGCGAGAGGGAGGGGGATGATCTAGGAGGTATCAAGCATTGTTGGTCGCGGCGCCGGACGCAAATTTCCTGCCAGGCCGGTCATGCCGTTGGTGGCCATGGCAGCGCGCAGTCGAAGGCGGGGGCTGGGGCGATACGGCCCGCTGTGCGAGGAGGGTCGAGGGGGATTGATCTGGGAGGTATCAAGCGTTGTTGGTCGCGGCGCCAGACGCAGATTTCCTGCCAGGCCAGTCGTGCCGTTGGTGGCCATGGCAGCGCGCAGGCGGAGACAGGGGGCTGGGGCGATGCGGGCCGTTGTGCGAGGAGGGTGGAGGGGGCAGGCCAGGGTCTGGGGGCGTGGGCGGGTGCGGCATCCAGCCGCGCTACATATTTTGCCTATTTCAGGGGAGGGGGGGCGTCGGCCAATCAGCGCTCTACATATTTTGCCTGTTTCGGGGAAGCGGGGGCGTCAGCCAATCAGCGCGCTACATATTCTGCCTGTTTCGGGGGAGCGGGGGCGTCAGCCAATCAGGGCGCCATATGATAGTAGGGTTTGGACGGAACGGGAGGGTCAGCCAATCAGCGTGCCAGTAGTTGGAGTGTATGGGGTAGTTGGAGCGCGAGCGCCTGCGCCTGCGCCTGCGCCTGCGCCTGCGCCTGCGCCTGCGCCTGCGCCTGCGCCTGCGCCTGCGCCTGCGCCTGCGCCTGCGCCTGGCACGCGTGGGTGAGCACCAAGTACTCGTTTTCCTAGTCGCTTCCGTCATTGCGATCCAATTGTCCGGCAAGCCAAGATTGGCTTCGCAGCAGTTGGGAGGGCAAATAGTAGCCCAGATCGTACGCCTTGCCTGCTTCTTCGCGCTGCAGCACTTGGTCCCATTTGCGTTGCGACCAGTTGACCCAATCACCACCGATGTTGCTGACTACGTTGGTGTATTGTTTGCAGGTCAACGGCGCGAACAGGGCGACCTCGATCGCAGGTCGCGGTGGGTCACTGGCGCGCCAAAACATGTTTTGGCGGGAGACGACGCTGGCGGACGCTGCAGTGATGGCGTGGTGGCCCCCCCATTCCACGGTCTGACCCACGGTCTCGTGGACCACGGGCGCTGGAAAGGGCCGGATGATGTAGCGGGCAGGCCGGGAGGAGGGGGGGGGGGGGCGGCGGCAAGGGCGGGTGATGTAGCGGCCGGGCGGGGGGCGGGGCCGGGGAAAGGGCGGATGATGTAGCGGGCAGGCGGGGGGCGGGGCGGGGAAAGGGCGGATGATGTAGCGGGCGGGGGGGTGGGGGACGGGAAAGGGCGGATGATGTAGTGGACAGCCGTTGTGGAGGGGGAAATGTAACGAACTTGCAGTGAAGAGCTAATGTACTAGCATGCGGGGGGGAGGGCGAGTTGTAATGCACCAACATTCACCATCCGTCATCCTGTGACGTCGACAGCCGCAGGGCCAAACTACTGACGCTTCTGCGGAATACGCGCAAAGGCATGGTCTTTTTCTGCTTCGGCGGCCTTTTGGGAGTGGCCTTGGGATGTGATGAATGGCGCCAACGTCATGTCGCCCTGGGCCAGGAGCCAACGCTGATGGGGTGCTGGCTGGTTCGCCACGGAGGGAATCGGTTCCAGCGGAGGCTGTTTGGGAAGGGGCTGGAGGCAACGGAGCTACAGGCAGATCCCGAACAACGATGTCCCTTAACGGTCAGGCAATCCATTTTAAATGGCCCAATAGTCCACGTGTCATGACTGTGTCACGTCAATGCCTGCAACCCGGTGCGTTGTTCAAGAGCGCCTCCCCAAGAAACTCGGTTTTGACGTCTTTCACTGGTGCAACAGCGTGGATATAGATGGCACCAACAATCCGGCGAATCTCCAATCTGTTCGCTCCGGTGTTTGGTGAAAGATGATGTGCGATGCTGTGCACAGCCAGCTGAGAAATCCCTTCAGGGATGTTTCTCCTTGCAAAACGACATTTCAGCAGTTGTTATTGTGTGTGCAGTCTCCGAAAGTGAAGCAGTGCAAGCAACGGACAGCTTCTTCAACGACTCAGGCATTTGCAGCCTCCAGACCCCGTCTCAGGGGCCTTGCATCGCGGCCTGGCGACCCCACAGTCTAAGACGTGGTGGAAACAAACGATTTGCTTCACCTTCAGCACGTTGTGGGTGCTCCTAAACGCCGCAATATACAAGGATCTACGTGATTGTCCATGTGCCGAATTCAACGTTTTGTTAGAATATCCCCAATCTGCCATGTGTGTGCTCATGAATTCCAGGCCCTCAGACCGGTCTGAGGTACCAGGGGTCCAACGGCAGAGCTTCATTTTCTTGATATGATCTGGCTGGAAAGATGTTACAGAACATCCTTTCTGGAGCTGTAGCACAGGATGAAGGCTCTGATCACCTCGAATTCTATGAGTCGCCTTTTCCACCTAACTGCCATGGTGAAAATGATCAGTAGTAGGGCAGAAAACTGTTAAAAACATGGGAGCCTGTCCGTAGAGACCCACCCCCATCGCTCAGTTGCTTTGGCACCTCGAAGCAAGGCTTCAACTTGCCCGGAAATATAACGCGTTTTGCTGAACGATCCGAGGCTACTATTCACAGCGCTCGCAATGGTCAAGCCCTCTGACGACAGAATTGCTCAAATCTCATTAAAAAAATCCCTCATTTCAGAAAATCAATTCCTGCTAAGGTGCAAGCCATGTTAGCACGGGCAAGTTCACTCTCACAAAGCTTCCCAAAATTCTCATAATTTCCTAACCAGTTTGGCAGCGCTCCCCCGTTTTCCTGTGCATGGGCGAATAAAGATCTCATCTATTTACTTTTCGTTTGCTTGAAACAAATGAGAACTAATCGATATTCGATTGTGTCTGCAGCTGCTCTGCGAAATCTCCAGCACCCTTTCCGAATTCTGTGCGTGCCCTTGCGCCATTTCTGAACGTATTGGCACCGTCCCTTGTGCTACTGCCTTGGCGATATGGTCGCACCATCCACTGCAACGAGATCGTGGACAGTGGCGCATGAGCTGGCGCTTGTGTGACAATGGTCCAGTGATCATGTGTGGATTTCATGATGTGCAGCATGGCTGGCGGCAATTGTGGGATCGATGGGCTGGAAGCAAGTTGTAACTGCGTGGTTGCCGGCGCTGGTGCCCTGCAGCGCTGGCTCTGTTCGTTTGGAGCCCTCTGTTGACATTCAATTTGAATAATACGTCGTATTATTTAATTTTATTATTATTTAGAGTCCGCAGGTAGGAACGAACGAATAGCAATTGGGTACCCCAGGCTGCGCAAAACTTGAAGCTCGCTCCACGGCCGTTGCTGCTGATCTGATCCATGTGATCGGATGCGATCACCGGAAATGCGCACCCGCCCTGCGCCAACAGGCTTACACGTTATGCCTTCGACACCATAAATACGGCAACATTTCACGCTCATCTACTCGTTTGTACAAAGACCCAGAATCTCGACGGTAAAAACGGAAAAAGCACGTCGCCCAGCACACCCATGCTGTGTGTAGTCTTGCGGTCATCTCCCGGACACCTTCGCCACCGGGTACCCTCACCCCAGAGCCGCTGATGCCGGTGAGGCGGCAGCCCGAACCGCCTCACGGGCGGCACAGCGACTGAGGGCGACAACCAATCAGCCAATGCAATGTCCGCCCGGCCTGCACGTCCACCCGGCGCACGAACATGCACGATTACGCATAACTACGCGCAGATATGCAAAAGGCAGAAATACGCGCAAATGCGCTTATTCATGCACACGAATGGGTGCAAGACGAGCCAGGCTCCACCTTCCGCTACCCACTGGTACAGCAATAGGGGAAGCAGGCAGGAAATACCCCGCGTCCGCTGTTGTTGAGGACAAATGCACCCTGTCGGCCCGCTGCCCGTCAACCCGTCCTTTCGTCCGCTCAGGTTGGCCCACCTGGTCCACCCCGGCCCGCCGCTGCCGCCCCCCCGCCGCCGGCCGCCGGCGCACGCAAGGGCGGGCCCCCAGAACCGGGCGGCCACGGGCGCCGGCCAAGGGAGGCGCGCAGGCGCCGGGCCGGCGTGGCGGCCATGGACTACGATATGAACGACGTGCAGTATTCGCTGATCCTCAGCAACGAGATAGCGACGGTGGCCACCGCCCTGCGCCAGAACTCTAAGTGGGCCTTCGTGGCGTCGCGCTACAGCGACGAGGAGCAGCTGGACGACCCGCTGCTGGAGGAGTTCCTGTCGCTGCGGCAGAAGGTGATGTACTGGGGCAACTGGGCGCTGGTGGACCCCCTGGAGTACCTGTCGCCCTTCCTGGAGGCGATCAGGAGCCAGGAGGTCAGCGGGCCCATCACCAGCGTGGCGCTGTCCTCCCTCATGAAGCTCCTCGCCTCCAACGTCATCAGCCCGGGCACCACCAACTCCGCGGAGGCCATTCGAAGGATCGTGTCCTCCGTGCGGGAGTGCAGGTTTGAAGGCACCGGGTCTTCCGCGGACGAGGCCGTGCTGCTGCGCATCCTGCAGGTGCTGGTGGCGGCCGTGCGCAGCGACGTGGGCACCCTCCTAGCCGCGCGCGACGTCCAGGACATCTTCCTGACCATGATCCAATGGTGCGAGGTGGGGGAGGGCAGCCCGGGGAGCGAGGTGTCCGGCGTCTTCACGCAGTCCTCGCGGCAGCTGCTGGGCGAGATGGTGGGCGCGCTGTTCGCGCGCCTGCGCATCAGCCGCATGAACGAGCTGGGAGGCAGCGAGGGCTGCCGGCCGCGGGGCAAGGGCTCGCCAATGTCGCGCTCCAGGTCCGCCAACAGCGACGCGTCCAAGGGGAACAGGTCCGTGTCGGGCCACTCGGCGTCCAAGTCCGACGTCAGCGCGGGATCGGCGTCCGCCTCGCCGCCGCTGCTGATGTTCGGGATCGAGCCCTTCTGGGAGATCTTTAGGTACCTGATTTCGCTGGCCAGCACAGAGTCCAGGGGGCCGGGCGCGGACGACGTGGTGCTGTTCGCGCTGCAGCTCATCCACACGTCCATCGTCAGCGGCGGGGAGGCGCTGGCGGACCACAGGGGGTTGCAGTGCATTATGCGCCAGCACCTGTTCATGGCCCTCACTCGGGCACTCAGCCGCGGCCACCAGTCCATCCAGTCGGCGGTTTTCCAGGTGATGAGATGCATCCAGAGCGTGTCCCTGGCGCAGACTCTACAAGGTGCACGGCTTTGAGAGTCTCTGCCAGGCAGTGAATGGCCACATACGCCCCTGTGCATATCCGTTGGAGGCCTTTTGTTGGAGATTGAATGAAAATCCTTACAGCCAACGTGAAAAATCGACACACTTGGTCATGCCACGTGTGTCTGCTGAACGTAGATAGTCAAACAGCGTCCCTTCTGCTAGCGGACTACACTACCTCACAATAATTGGCAGATACTCCATCCCAATAGCATCAAGGCAGTTGTGGGAGCTTGAGACCTCTCACACCTGGAAGGGGTCCGTCCTAGCCTGAACAAACGCATCTGCTACTGCAGCAACAATCTGTTCTGAACAGACGTATTTGGAGGCCATGTATTCTAAGCATACGATGTGAAACATGGCTCAGGAACAGACAGATAGCATAGGGCCTTGATGGGCAGGTGGCGATGTAGAGAGCAAAATGAAATGTGTGGCACCAAGGCATGTTGCTTGTAACCAGCGGTGGTAAAGAAAATGCAAGGGGAATTGAACGCCCGACAATAGGTGTTTTAGTACCTTCTCATCTTTAGTGAAATATGCACAGGGCACAGTTGTCAAAACATCACAAAGCAGTGTCCCTTCATCTATGAGGTAACAGGTCCCTTTCTCATCTGCCAGCATCTGTTGCCATACGGTTTAGAACAGCCCCCTTTTGGCCGCCGAACATCCCACACCGCTGCTCTTTTACTTGCGCCTACACACCTTGAAACATCTACTTTGTCTGCTGGATGCCCTTGTGGCTTTTCATGTGGTTGGTTGATGTTTTTCAGGTGGTGCTGGCGATGTACAAGCTGTTTGGAGACCGCATCCTGCTCCAGCTGGAGTGCTTTATGCAGAGCTCCCTGCTGCGTCTGTGTGAAGGCAAGGGCTGTCAGAGCCAGGAGCATCAGGAGGTGGCCCTTGAGGCCCTCCTGGACTTCTGCGGCTACCCCGGCTTCCTGCATGACATGTACCTAAATTTGGATTGTCGTGTGGAGCGCTCCAATCTCTTTGAGGACATCTGCTCCCTGCTGTCAAAGACGGCCTTCCCTGTGAAGTCCTCCCTGGGGGCCATCCACATGATCTCTCTGGAGGGACTTCTTGCGATGCTGTACTCCCTCTCAGCACAGTGCTGCACGGATGGTACAACAGCACAGCTGCCGCCCGAGCCTAAAGCGGAGCTGCCACACTACATAGACATATGGGGCAACCTGTTGGAGGGGCGGTCCCCTGGGTTGGAAGTGTTTGCCAATGAGGTTAGCACCAGCGGACGGGAGCACCTGGACACCATGGTCCAGCTCATTCGGCTGGAGAAGGCAATAAAGCGGCGGGTGTCTGTCGCTGCAGACCATTTCAACAAGGACTTCAAGAAGGGGTTCCAATACATGCAGGCAATGAAGCTCCTGCCAGACAAGGAGGACTGCACTGCCATAGCGCATTTCCTGCGAGTATGCCAGAATTTGGACAAGACCATGATTGGGGAGCTGCTGGGTGAGAGTGGCGAGCTCTACAAGCAAGTGCTTCAGGAATTTGCACAGTCGTTCAGGTTTCAGGATGTGCCCTTCGACCTGGCCCTCCGGATGTTCCTTGACACGTTCAAAGTTGGCGGGGAAGCGCAGAAGATTGACAGGGCGATGGAAAACTTTGGGAAAGTGTATTACAAGACGCAGGTCAATGGACTGATGGCGAGCTCTGATGCTGCATTCACCCTGGCGTTCTCCATAATTATGCTCAACACTGATCTGCACAGCAGTGGCGTGAAGAAAAAGATGACTATGGAGGAGTTTGTGCGGAACAACAGGGGCATCAACGACAACGAGAACTTTCCCAGGGAGTTCCTGGAGAGCCTGTACAGGTCGATCAGCCAGAACCCGATCAGGCTGCAGGACACATCGGCTGGCGAGGTGCCAATCGTGCGGTGGCTGGTGCTAGATCAGCAGAGCGAGACTGAGAGGGGAAGGATGCTTCGCACCAACGACAGGGAGCTGAAAGGGGGCCATGCACTGGACAGGGACATGTTCAGCCTCATCTGGGGACCCACGGTGGCTGCAGTGTCTGTAGTCCTGGATCAGGTGAGAGATGATCTGTTGCATAGCCTGTTTGTCTGAAAGTGACAAACCACTGGGGCCTTGCACCTTCAAATGGGTGATGTTGGGCTCAGTGTCGGCAATGCACAATCCTTGCCATTTTTGGAGAGTTTCATTTTGTTTAATTTGACAAGAAACAGCCCAGGTGCAAATGACTATTTGAGGAATCTTCTGGGTCATTGACTGTGCTGGCACCATCGATCTGGAAAGTCCCAGAGGTTTGTCTTGGACAGCGGATTGCACTGCTCAAAAGTCACAGTCTTTAGTGTTCCCTAGCTCCGGCTCCTGAAGTGTATTTGCTTTGAAGCCTGTACATGGTCAATTTTGAGCAATGGATGGGCTTTACGGACCTAAAACAGCTGGACATAGATCAAATCTGGAGTGTGTGTTGCTGGCAGATGTGGAACACTGTGCTCAGACAGAGTGCTGTGGTCTCTGTTGTGCTGAATGCGATACATGAAACGTAAAGCAGAGGGCACAGAGTGATAATCGTACTTGATGCAAGTTTTGTATTGCGGGCACATGAATCTGTGGAGCCTCAGGTGCCTCCCCATCTCTGAACGGTCACTGCTGCCATTTTGGAATCGCTGTCAATCCATCGAGCTGATAGTCGGGGTCCATTTGGGTAGTTTGCACATGCTCTTCGAGGCAGCAAAACTAACTTGTGGGGGATTGTACCAAGACTCCTTTGCTGCCATCAGCGCCCTTGTTGCTTTTGTGGGCCTTGCCTGTTGATATCTTCAACCTGGACAGCTTCCCAGATTCTTGAAAGGTCCTGTCGATTTGCCTTCTGTAGGCAGAAGACATCACCACGGTCCAGACTGCTTTAACCGGGCTGAAGCTGGCAGCAAAGATCGCATCTTACTATCGTGTGGACGAGGTCATAGACAGCCTGGTCGTCACCTTGTGCAAGTTCACCATGCAACTGGCCCCTGGTGCCAGCAAGCCCCTCATCAACTTTGGCAACAACACCAAGGCGCAAGTGGCCATGGAGACCGTCTTCTTCGTGGCCAGCAGGTCTGCAGGGTGTTGATTTCTATGGTTCCTGTTTCTGTAGCTCTCTTGGGGGACATGTGCCCCCCAATTCATGTGGAAGGGAGTGCAAGCTGGTTTGCCTTCTTGCAAAGTGCTGTGTATTGTGTGCAGTATTTGTGAGGCAGCCATGGCTCCAGCGTAGCTGAGTCTGTCAGACATTCATGGCCTGGACGTTGCCTCTGGGTTGTGAGCAGGGCAACAGAGCCATGAAGCTTGGGCTTGGCACTTGAAGCTCGTGTGGTGTGCCCTTGGATATCCCACCCTCAGGTTCGAGACTGTCTGATCATTCTATAGGCAAGGGCAAGCAAGGCTTGTGCTACACGCCTGTGCTACCCATCGGATTTGAATTGCTTGAATGCTCCAGGTGCAGTGCCTGGGTGCTTGCATCAATGTCATGCAGGCTAGCCACTGTCTGTGAATGTGTTTCTGCAGGTTCCGGCAGGCAGTGCCAAGTTTCTTTATGCATGTCTTGAAGTGGTGTTTGTTGCTTCGTTTATCAGATATGGAGACAGCTTGAGGGCAGCAGGCTGGCGCAGCATAATGGACCTGGTCGTGCGCCTGTACCGCCTAGGCCTCCTTCCCAACACATTCTGGCAGGAGACTAATGGCTTGTCTGAGGATGAAGATGGAGTGCGTGAACGAGAACTGCTAAAATTGGCCTCCGACTCAGGTATGACATCCTCGCACACACTGTCATGGCAACTCCTCATGGCTTCAGTCATCATTGGCAGTGCCCTCCATTTCCTGTACTTTCTATGTGTCTCCGCTGATCTCGGCATCCATTGCAGGTTCATCAGCTCCTTGAATCCCTTTCTGAGTCGGTTGGTACACGCCCTCAATGGCAAGGCCTTCACACATTGTTGGGATCGTGATGGTTGTGGTTCTGGTGCAGATCTGAGCAGCTATGCAACAAGCAGCCTATCACGCCTGTTCATGTCAGGCGGGGCTGAAAAGCAGCTGACCAGGGAAGAGCAAGAGGCACAAGAGCGCACGGTGCAGTGCATCGAGCACTGCAGGATTGATGAGCTCTTTCTTGACACCAAGTTCCTCCAACCAGAGCCACTGCTGGAGCTAGTCCGGGCAGTCACATGGGCATCAGGTGCGTTTAGGATATTTTTGTAGTTTTGGCAAATAACTGGCTGAACAACGAGTGACTTTGGTCTACAGTCCACATTGGCAATCTGTGTTCACTGTTGATTTTTGGTGGGAGGGAACTATTATACTCTGAGAACAGCCACATGTGAATAAGAATGATTATCATCATTCATACTTCCTTCGTCCGGAATTAATTGTCCTCTATTTGAGAGACAAATTTCGTTACAAAGCACACCTTAAATTTACAAAAGAACGTCAGAATCGGAAAGATTGGTTCCCAAAACCCTTAACTACCAATCTTCAGGAAAAAAAGTTAGTCCCACCCCTTCTGGAGGGGCCCCCAAATCGCCGAAAATGGTCCAAAAAATGTGCATGCAGATTCCGCATCCGCTAGAGATCCGCACGTTTCTGGGTCACTCCCGTCCTAGGTGTGCCAAAGACAAGTCGTTGCCGCCTTTGCGGTGAAGGGCAGCGTCCCTTATGTAGAATAGCGTTTGCCAAACACGCTCAAGCGTGTTTGGATCCCCATCGTGGAAGGCCATCGTCGCAGTTTTGACGATTTCTGAAATCTCCACTATAGTCAATCTTTGGCGTGCGGACGTAAAGCAAGCTTACAAGGCTAGGGTCCAAGGCATTCAAACTTGGATTATGTGCGAGGTATTGTTCCAAAGTTATGTAATAGACTTGGTTGGATAATCTGGCTCCATAAAGGCTTGAATCGTTGCTTTTGTGGGCAGCCTGGCTCACACCCCACAAACTGCCATGATCCGCCAACTCTTGCATGCAATCCACAATCCATCGCAACCCAGCAAGTGCAATTCCCTTTGAGAGACATAGTTTTATCCATCTAGCTAGTCTTCTCAAGCTCAAGCCCTTCAAGTGCTGAAAAATGGTCGAATCACCATTGCCGTCCAGGAGCGCCGTTGGCTAATTGCCCCCTAATTGTCTGGCACTGAATGGGGTGATGGCCACCACCTTCCTAAAGGTCTGCGAGAAATTTGGGAGGCCTCCTGCGGTATCCCTCGTAGTGGAGTTGGAGGTCCAAAAGTCGTGGTCCAGAAATCTGGTTAACATGGGCATCTCTGATTTGGCCAATCGAGCTTGACTTGCAGCCGTAAGACACGGCGACTTGCACAATCAGGGCTTTCAATACACATTTTCTGTTTCCCCTCTACTTTGCAAGCACCTCCACGATCTTCTGTCCAACGGCGTGGATAGTTTGCCCGGGCAGCTCTGTAGTGCTGCCACAAAGGCGTGCTCCTCAAAACAGCGAAAATGGCCATTCCAGCAGGGATATTGAAAAACTGGTGGGTTTCTGGCCGGATGACCCTTGCTACAAAGTGCTGCCGAATCCGCAATACTCAACGGATTGACTTGAAATTCTGATTGCATACTCTTAAAACATAGGCGCAGCTTTGCAAGAAATTGAATGAGAAATAAAGTTTCTATGATGGAGAAGTAAGGCACCAAAGTCATAGAGGACAATTAATTCCGGGCGGAGGAAGTAGTAAGGTACAAGTGCTGTGATTGTGAAGCTGTGGCAATTGCTATCCAAAGGATGTCATGGTCAATCGCTCCACATGTCGTCCATTCCCAGGAGTGGTTGTCTATTGGGGCAGTTTTAAGCTCCAAGAGACAGGCATAGGGGGGGTGTTCTTGATTCAACATTATGCCTTACAGGAGTGTTGGCAAGGGATGTGTTGGTGCCAGCTCATCACCTTTGATTGTGTAGTACTTTACTGACATTGTTGCCTGATGTCTAGGCAAGCATGCTTGCTCCTTGCTTGTTCTGTGTGGTGCTCACTGACAGCTGACCTGTGGATGCACTCCGAGATTCCCATGCCGTCTTATTCATTATAGTAAGAAATAGTCATGACGGGGTTGACTCTGCATGTTTGCGTGCTTTCTTCGTGAGAATCACTTTGCCAAACTTACAGAAGCGCTCGCCAATTTTCTTTTTGGCTCCTTTGTGTCTGACTGCCTCCCTTTAAATGCTGCCGCAGGGTGGTCTCCACGCCATACCAACGATGAAAAGACATCCGTGGTGTGCCTAGAACTTATGTTCTCGGTCACCATCCGCAATCGCGACCGCATCAACAAGCTGTGGCCTCTGGTCCATGACCACCTGAAGTCAGTAATCATCCCCTCAGACAGGCCAATATCCAAAATGCTGGTCGAGGTGGGGGTCCTTGGGCTGCTCCGCGTGTGCCAACGGATCCTGGTGTACAAGCCAGAGGTGGCAGACCTACTGCTGACCAGCCTCCAGTTTGTGCGAAACTTGGATGCGGATATGATAAGGGACATGGCTGAAAAGGTGGCCACAGAGGTGCTGGCGCTCATCAAGGGGGCTGCCTCTTTCATTCATCAGGTGGGTGGGAGGCAGCACGAAGAAGGCGCCTGAGAACCACCTGGATTTGACCTTGTGCCTGTTTAGGGTGCATCGGCCTGGTGATAGTGCCATTCTTGCCCATGTTCAGCAGGCTCACATTTCCGATGGATCGGCAGACAGCATGTGACCATGGAGCGGCTGTGCAATATGCAGCGGCACCAAGTCATTGTGCTGGTGTCAGCCCTGTGTAGCTCCAAAATGGCCTTGACTTGTCCTGTGCCATGCCAGTTGGGTTCCTGCTGAACTGGCATTATCATTTCGAAGGCTGAGCTCCTTCAACGTGAAGAGCACTGCAATGTGTTGTATTGATCCTATTGCCATTTGTGCTGTCCCCAGTTTGGCTATGATTGTATGTTGGCATACCATGCCCATCTGAGCACATACCTGCAAATGTGTTCTGTTGGCATTGCATTGAATCATCAATAACTGCATCTGGGACTGTGCTCCATGCTGCACACAGGAGTCGCATCGTATGAGCAAATGAACCAGTTGATGGATTAACATATTTATGCACACATGGCATGAAACAATATGTGCAAATGAACCAGTTGATGGGTGAATGCATTTATGCACACATGGCATGAACACAATGGCGATGAGCAGTGCTGCTTCTGAAAGACGGCATTGAGACAGCTTGAGATTCTAACAGCCTACAATGAATGTGGATGCATCAGGGATGGGCATGGAGCACCATATGCCTGCTCATTTGCCTGACAGCAGCATCGCCACCTGCATTCAAGACATCGCTGGATGCCTTTGTGCACATTGTGAAAGATGGTGCACACCTCACCCCTGTCAACTTCTCAGACTGTCTTTCGACGGCCCGTTCGTTCGTTGAGCGCACAGCAACCTACCAGCCTGACAAGGCCATCCAGGTTCTCGACCTGATGGGGGACATGGTGGTGTGGTTGCCAACTTGGAAGCCCTCGCAGGGCGAGAGGCGTTTGGGATATCCAGCACCCCCAGAGAAGGGCTTGGATCGTGCCCAGTGCTGGTCAGACATCATCAAGGCCCTTTGCAGCTTCTCAAGCCAAGAATCAGCGCCACAGGTATGGAGGCGTAACCTGCAATTTTGCCAATTGGCAGTACGTGGCAGATCACTAACCTTGAGGGGCTTGTGATTTGAAGATTTCATCTTGAGAAGTTACTCAGACAGCACGATGTACATGTATCGACAACAGGTGGACATCATGCCGGTTGGTGGATATCAGGCCTGTGGGTTCCCTTGCAATAGCCAGCCAGGTGGCTGACGCTGGAGAAGACAATGGAATGAGTTCATCATCAGGATTTTTTCGTACAAAGACCACACCTGCTCCATTGGATTGCATGGTGCTGACGTACTTGCTTGATGCAGGAAGAATCACTGTGACTGGAGGAACGTGTAATGCAATGATCACACCGATCTTGAACGAAATAGTTTTTGATGCTTTGTGTTAGGCTATGCCCATGAAAGGTGACATGGAAGTTGCTAACTGTACTCAAAACAGCACCAAAAGCACACTGTACCCAGCAACATAAGGTACTCTCCTCTGGGGTGTTCCTTTCTTCAACGTGCCATCAAAGTTGTCGTACACGGTTTTTTGCATCCTGTTTATGCCTGGCATGGTAGCTGTTCGATGGCTGTACTTGTTGCCAACAGCCATGGAGCCCTCACCAAAACCATCCATGCAAGGATCTGTGGACAGCATAATGTGACTTTCGTACGGACACGAACACTGCCACTGAATAGGATTACCTGCGCGTCTTGGGGCACACACGCGCAATTCAGGCTTATGGCATGGATCAGAATTTCTTTGGAATGCATCGTCAGATAGACATGGCTTGCACCCTTGCACCTTGTATGCAATGATGGCGTGTGGCCTGTGGGCTGTGCGTTCCCACAAGGCTTACAACCCAATCATGCGGCTGTTTGTAGGTGCGCAACCATGCAGCCATCAAGCTGCACAACGCGATCCTCAAGGGGGAGGACCTGCAGCTGGACGCCCAGCAGTGGGGGGCAGTCTTGAAGTATGAGCTCATACCTCTGGTGCAGGCGCTCATTACTCGAGAGAAGGCATGGGATGTGGAGGAGAATTTTCAGACGGTCAAGCTGTCTGTTAAGACGCTGTCCAGGACGTTCCTGCAGTTTTTGCACTTGCTGCAGAAGCTGCCAACATTCTCTACGATCTGGTTGGAGATGTTGACAGTGCTTCAGGTGAGCCAGATATGGAGCACCCATGTCCTGACCGCAGTCCTTTGTAATCGTGGACAGGATTCTTGGAGGCCAGAATGTCCAATCCATCCATATAGAGATGGCATGGAAACATGAATTTTGTGCACACTGCTGTGCTTCCTTGTTCTTGCATCATAGGACAGTGTGTCAATGCAGATGGTGTCGGTCAAGGGTGCAGCATTACTAGCCAGGCTGCCAGCGTGTGTGCCTATGTGCATGTCTGTGCATCCAGGGTGAATGCAATCCCTGTGTTGTGTTGCAGCAGCGTTTCATGTTGCGTGCTGCGCAATGTGTCGAACTGCGCCGTGCTTCCCGTGACTTGCTGGCAGCTTCAAACGCTATTTTCCGGCACCAGGAAAAAGCGAACCTGTGATTGTTGAAACCTAGAAACAGATGTTGAAAACTACAATGGCCGCTGCACCCAAACGTAAATGTACGATGCTTCTGTCATTGCCTTCGCATCATATCACATATGGTGACAACGGGGTGATCAGGGTCCATTCACAGCCTCCAGGCCTTTCATCTGACCGTGGCGTTGGCTGGGATAACCGTGACCAGTGGAAAGTGCTCAGTGTGCGCGTGCTCTGTCGCAAGCAGAAGACTGTGGTGTCGCGAAAACACGCAGCATTCACCGTTTGAGGCAACATTGTCACATTGTTTCCTGGCTGTCCCACAGAAAAGCTGCTATCGGCACAATGAACTCGCTGAGTCGGTGCCTGAGGACGTGAAGAACATGCTGCTGGTAATGGCCAAGGAGGGCGTGCTGACACAGGAGTGGCAAGACGCCAAGGGGAAGAATTTGTGGGAAGCCACGTGGCGGGAAGCGCAGCGAATTTCGTACGCCCTGACGCCGAAAATTCTCGCCGGCTGAACGGAATTGTCTTGGACTGTGCTGCACAGCACACGGGGCCGTGTGGTGTCAAATCCCTGAGGGGTTGAGCGTGTCCGTTGCTTGCGTGGACCAGGCTGCGGTCAGCAGGCGGGCATGGCGGAATCCGCGGAGTTTTGGGATTGACGCGGGGAGCGTTGTTGCTGAAGAAGATGGCGTCTGCGCCCACGGATCGACCGCCGGAATTCGATCGCCAGTCCAGAATTGCGGGAGAATGTTCTGATCTCTTGCCCGGAATGCTGTCAGAATTCGCACCTGGGCGTTGCTTCCTTACCCTGGGGGACGAGCAGCAACGCTGTGGCAATGCTGTGGCACTGATTGCACAGCCAGCATGCCAGGACTGCAGGACTGGCCCAACCTGTTTTGTGTGGATGCGTGTTTGGGTAGTGTACAATATTTGCCATATAGCAGCTTGAATTTCGTCGGCAGCGGGTTGTAGCTGGAAACACATAGAATTCCTTGGGGTGGGGGAGCGGCTGTTGAGCACACAATTTCGGAATCCAGCTGGTCCTTTCAAAGCGAGTCGACGTCCCTTGCCTTTGCCTGAAGCAAAAAAGCGCCTGCTCGACGTCGACGTCAAGCAGCGCACCTTTCCTCGTCTGCGCATGAAACAGGAACTGCATTGTGCGTACCATCGATACAACCATGAAGATGAAGGGACGCGAGGCCGACAATAGCGAGGAAAGCGGTGTGTTACACGTCCACAAACGACGAGTGAAAAGGTTCTGGAGCCGGCCGTGCATGACAGTGAACGAAGTACTCTGCGCCACTAGCTTTCGCTAAACAAACTGTTGGAACAATCTTACAAATAAGCGCAACCGGCAGCATCAGGCCGCGAAGTCCATGAACTGCCTCGTGTGTTCCCTCTCCTTGTGACTCTTGCATTTTCTCAATGCCTGCCCGACGACGCTCCTGAACAGCAAGGGCCATTCAGATATTCCGTAGTGGGCACCTAGTTGCATCGATCTCCACATCTGCTCCTCGTCGTTGATGGTCCAAACAGCGATCGTCCTGCGAGCAACCCAGAAGAAGCGACACAACGAAACGTCAAGTCGCAAGTGCCCTTCCTCAGGTACGATCACCCCGATCAACTTGAGGTCCACCTTGTTGGTCCGCCCTTGGACACTGGCATGCATCATCGAATGTTCGATGCCATCAAAATCCATGGAATGCACGTGTCACAAAATGACAAAACAAAGCCCGTGCACCTGGCAGGCGATGATACCATGAAGTTACCAATACCGATACCGATAAATTTCCAGGATTCTACAGCCACGTCATATGGCGGGCATGTTATGCCATTAGTAGCAATGGGGCTCGCTTCCACGCTGTCACTCGCCACTTGCCGACAGGCCACGTCAACAAAAGAAAAAGGGGACCCAGGCAGAAATACAAGCGCCAAAATCTTTTCTGCGTACTCATGCAGCGCCATGTTCCATGCTAGCTGAATATCTTGATGGTTGTTGCGGCTGATATCGGCCACTAAGCACATTCTTTGTTTGTCGAGAGTGTGGCGTGCTCCGTGTCTTGCCTGCAGAATGGACTTACTTGTTTTTATCCCTTGCTTCCGCGAAGAGGGCTTCTTCCAGATTCACAGATGGCACAATGGTGTCGTACAAGCCACTCACTCGTGGGCTGATCTGCGACATGCCGACCTTCCCTATCAGCGCCCACCATTCCAATCAGCGGCACCTACTATGCATTGTTTTCAAGGTGGTGTGGGCAGTACTTGAAATGCAAGGCAGCACAGACACCCTTCTTTGCTCCTTTTGGGACGCCGCATACTGCCCCTTTTTGACGGCCATTTTATGAAACGGATGCATGCTACTCACCACCGTCAGACTGCAACCACCAGCACTAGGAGCAGCATAGAACAGCAATATCTGCGATGGAGACGAACCGCCTTTTGTGACCTGAAAATGGAGCACGCAGGGCTGGGGCACAGGGCCCGCCGCCTATAGGAGACGTGGGAGGCAAAAGACCATTTCAAGGACGCCTGACTGAGAAAATGAGTGCAGCTGGCTGTCGCTGGTCCTGTTGCAAGCACCACATGGGATCTGGAGTTGAAATCGACACTTCTCGACAATTTCACCTTCAGTTACCATTTGAAGATTGTCGTGGATGGGTTTTGGGAGCCGTGGCCCTCTTGGGTGGAGTGGATTCCAGGGCTGGGTGCAGAATGATGGGACGAAAAGTAAACCGCAGAGCGGTTCCAAATGCAGGCTTGGTCTTCAAACACCGAATGTTTATATGTATTTACACGTTAAAACGGTATTTACGTTTTGTTGAAGGACCCTGTTAGTGACCGCCATGATATGGCCAGTAGGTCACGGTCCCCTTGAGACAAAAGAGTTTTACACAAGGTTTTTCACTACAACCGTTACAACAATCGTTCCCTCAATCAAACCCAGTTGGACAATCACCAATACCCTTGCTCTACTTGTCCACACCACTATATCGTCACTGTAACACAGACAACCCCCAGACATTCACTCCCCAATCGAAATACCCTCCGTACAACTCCCCTGTATTTCACAATCTGAAGGGATCTCTTCCCCTGAGCTGGAATTCTCCTCCACCTCCCTATTGCCAAACTGATCAGAATCACCTTCTTTGCCCACTTTTCCTGAAGCAGCTGCCCGCACCACTCTGTTTTCCCGCAGAGTCATTGTCAGTTCCTTTCGGATGAAGTCTCCGGCCTCCTGAAATGAGCGCTCACAATCTGCCCAATGAGCAGCAAGGAAGGACTGCACTTCCAAGCGGAGGTGACGGACCTCTGGAACTGAAAGAATATATGGTGGGAGATTCCTCTGCTCCACCCAAACACGCTCAACTGCTGCTCTCTTCAGAAAAGGGATTCCCTCGGTTTTCTCCGGATTTTCTGCCACCTCACGCCTTCTTTTTCGCTGCTTCCCGTTTTCTTGGTCAGTGGTCGAGGGGCAGCAGGACACTTGCCTTGGATTTACCGTTTCCCGACTTTGCTGTGCTAGGGGAACACAGCTAACTTCCAAAGTCAACTTCAGAGATAGCTCAAGGGACATGCAATTTGATTCTGATCACCTTTTTCCTGCCAGGAGTCAGTCAGAACGACGGCTCAACAATTCTGCCTGGAACTCACAATCACGATACTCAATCGGGCAGGCAGCCAACCCACAGGACTTACACAACGTCTGTACAACGCTCAACAACACCACAATCGCTTTCACTTTGTCCACTTCCCTTTCTCACAGATCCAACTTCACCCGTCACTATACTTCACTCCCAACACCAACTCTTCACTTCGATCAGCGATTCCCAAAACACCACACCGTCCAGCCCTGCCAGTCAACACCAACGATGGATTGCGCCTTGGCTGCAGCTCCACAGCACTCTCTCACAGCTCTGGTTGTCGTCCGTTTGGGGCGGTTCACGGCGCTGGCTTTGGTGCTGCACAAACTGGCCAAAAGCCAGCCCCTATATACCCCAGTTGCTAGGCATCACAACACCTCCCCTTCGGACTCTCCACATGCCACTTCCCACTGCGAATTCGCAGTGCGTTGGACCCTCTTCGTAGCGTCCTGAGTGAATTTCCAACGTTGGATTCCATCACATTATTATTCACCCACTTTGGTACCTGGTTACATCACCTTTCTCCAACCGTTTCACCAAAAAACATCACCACCCCAAGAACCAACGCACCCCCTCCTCTAAAGCCTCTGTGCATGCGTACAGGTCACTCCTCATGCATTTGATAGGGGTTACAATATCCTTTCCTTATTACCTTCACTTCCCCTTATCAAACCGTTTTCCCCCTTTTCCTATCAATCACAAACACTCCTTGCAGTTACATTTCACGACGCTCGGCCAATCCGGGCGTCATGCATGACTTTCCTTCCTCCGAACTGCTCGGAGCCTTCCTCCCGCAGCATTTGCCCGCTCGCGAGCACCGCCCGCCCGCGCTCGAAAAGGCGCAGCTCGGGCGCCTCTTCCTCCGGCCCCGGCGCGCCGCTCCATCCCTCCGGACCGGCCGGGGAAACGTGCATCCCCCTTTCGGGGGGGGTTCCTAGGGCCCTCCGGATGGCCATGGAGGCCCACTCTGCGGCCGACCTCTGCGCCTCCACCGCCTCCGTCCGGAGCTCAACGACGAGCTCCCTGACGGCCATCGCTGAGGCCGCTTGAGGGGCCGGGGACGATCGGCCCGCGGCCTCCGGACTGCCCGCCTCCGCCCTTTCATGTAAGGTGCCTTCCTCAATCGCCGTCAACAACGCAGCGAGCTTCCCCTCCATGCGCGCAAGTGTTCTCTCATTCCGCGCCAGCCTTCTGGTCAATTCCGCTGCACTCGCACCGCTCAGCGCCTCTGCCATTCCGCCAAAACGAGCTCCATGGCCCGGCACCTCCGCCTCGCTGGCCAGCTGCGCATCGGCTTCGAAAGCCATTCCCCGATGTCCGCCACGTCCGGCCACTGTCGCCCAGCACAGTCGCCGGCGGTCGCTTCTTTCCGCGCACTCGCGCCGACCAGCCGCGCATTCCCGGGTAAGTCGCGCGCGCGGGAAGCATCCTAGGCGCAAGCGGCAGCTGACTGCCCGCCGGATGCTGCGCCGCATTAACCGGGTAATCTAAACCGTTTAACGGTTTGATGGACTGGCCACAAATCGACACGAAATGGCACCTCAACAACTTGTTATTTTGGTGCATTTTGTTAACTGCATGATCAATGTGCTTTCAACTTCATCCCGGTCAGTCAGACGGTGAGAGACACATTCCATTCATATGGAGTTCATTGTGTCTTGCATTAGTATTGTTCCGGGAACTTTAACAGTTTTTGCACATAAAAGCACGTAAACTACGTAAGTTTTGACATGGTGTACAGAAAGACATTACATGTAGGCTCAGGGAGTTATGGTGAAGCTCTGGAGTAGGCAGAAAAAAAAACTTTTGTTCAATCACATCTTCGCCCTTGCCCAGGGCGAGGTGGACGCTGTGTTGCAGGTGCGAGGATGTGGAGGACTGATCATTGTTTGCGATTCACCACATTACCTGGGTGCCCCGGCGACCTGTAAGAATATGTAAATACAACCGCAAAAAATGCCCCTTTTGCAAATTTTCATGTGCTCTCGTGTAAAAACGTAAACGTAAAGACCAAGCCTGCGAAGAGGTATGAGAGGAGAGCAAACAGCCACGGATCATGGAGTCAATGTCAAGCAGCGGGGACATATCGTCAACTGGCACACTTTAAAGGCCTTTCTGGAGCCTGAACGAATGAAGGAAGCTTTTGGAACAAGGCAGGGGTACTTTGAACCTCTTCTAGCAAATGCAAATTTTTGCAGTAAGCACGATTTTTGCTTCAATGTTTTTGCGGCTGGGAGTCAGAGTGCCCCCCACCCTTGAACCAATCTCAAATTAATAATTTCCTTGAAGGATGACAATAATCGACATTCCACCATGAAAGATGCCATAATCGATAAGGTATCAACACTATGTGTAAAGGTAATGATGCTAGCTATCTTGGCGCAGTTTGTACTTCAGTGCGCATCACCCGCTGCGGAGCAAACGATTCCTGATGTTTCGCAGATTTTGTGACCACTGGAAAACGGTGGCACTTCTGGTGCACTTCAACAGTCCCCAATCACTTCTGGTAGCACCTGAGATGACTTTCGTTTTCCCAGAGGAGGGAATCTTGGCTTGCCACAGATGCTGGCCCCCTCGCAGCAAAGCCGCACCAAATCGTTGGGGATCTCATGGCGATCCCGTTGCATTTCCTTTCATCAGAAACGATTTTACATTGTCATAGGGCCATATGACCCACAAAAGCTTTACCTTCTCCGCCTCTGTGTTCATCTGTATCCTGTCTCTGTCCTTGTAGACAAGGCCACCATGCACACCTGGCGCTGACTCTTTCATGTCCCTCACCAGATCCAGGCCAGATTCCAAGCCAAACCAAAAATAGAGGTATTGGACTATGCTCAGCTCTTTCGCCATGTCCAAAATTCGACCGATATTGGCCCCATTTAAAGAGGATCCTTTGAGCTCAATAGATATCATCGGTCGTCGCTGAGGGATTCCCTGCAGGTGTCATTCACATACGGCGCCAGCACATGAGAATCAGGACATCCAGCATGTATATGTGACATCTGACAAGGTTATATTTGCTCCAATGCCACAACATGGCAATGGCCACATCATTGTCTGCAGAATAGGGACACTATTCATGTGGGCGATGTGCACATGCACAAAAGCTCTGCAAGCATGTGTACTGCATGCAAGTCCACTCGGAAGATGCCAATTTCCATCGAGCCTGAACACAATCGGCTCACTCACACATTGGCTGCAAACTAGCTTAGCAGACAAGACTTCCTCGATTGCATCTTCCAAGAAACGACAAAGCACTGCACTTTGTGCCCGAAAGTAGCTAATAGGCACAATGTCACACACATTCTTATCAAAGCTCCTAGCACGGAGTGCTTTGTCTGCATGGCGGGGTACTCATGCCTCCACAAGATGCAGATTCCTACAGCCATAAGGGACGCAACACACCAGACTATACCCACACCTTGGTTACTGCTCCATTTCAACCATATCCAATTCCTGGCAATTGAGGAATTGGGAGATTCCTTCGAATGCAATACTACCCAACGATTTGATTTCTTTCAATTTGTGTATATGACCTACGCACGATCTGTACAATTCGAAATTGGTGAACATAAGTCAAATTGTGCAACATACTCAAATATCTGGCAGCGTGCTTACTGCACATGACTATTGTTGGTGCCGCTTGCCTTCTTCAGCAAAGCTGAAAATTCTTCCAACAAGGAATCAACCTTGGGGATATCACATTCGCCAATGCCCTTGTCCAACAGCTCTTGCAGTGTGTAGCTATCTGCCATGTGCCTGAAAGCAGGGAAATATGTATGTCGTGGGAGAAATTGCTAATGTACATATCGATCGTGCAGTGTCATCAATGATGCATGTACATCACTGCCTCCAAGGGCGGCCAGAAGACTGGCAACGGTACGACAACATTTGATTTTCAATAAAATGAACATTCTGGCTTGAAGATTTTCTATGAAACTATGCTGTTGCTTGTGGGGCTTCCAGTAGTTTCGTTGCCCTTGTTTGTCCATCGCTGCTGTGGAGGTGGTAGGGCATTGTTCTGTCATTCTTGGACAAGCTGTCCACTGGGGAAAAAAAAACTAGTGTTTGATTTAACGTTTCACAGTACCTTGCAGTTCTTGGCAATGAAATGTTCACAGCAGAGAGCCAAAATGCAATTATTGCAATAACCACTGCATGGCTGCATCACACCTGGACCATTGAAACACTTTTGTTGGGATCCACTACTGCCACTGTGCACAACGACCAGCCATGAAATTTTTTCATTCCAGAACACAACATCTTCAACATCATGCAGCTTTTAGCAATGCTATTTTGAAACACTGCAACATGTTTAAGATGGATCCTTTCATTTACCTGTTGAAAGGCAGGGCAAAGGAACTGCCATGTGTTGTACTGCTGTAGTATTTGGACAAATGCAACAACTACAGTGCAATAATGACCACACTGGTTGATCAGCAGTGACCACTCGCGCCTCAAGAGGCGATCTTGCAACAATCAGGCCTTGAGGTGAGACAGGTCGACTGGCCTGGGGTAGATATCATGGGACTCGGCATCCAGACCTGGGGTCTAACATCTGGTCTCCAACACACTCCTGCAGCTGTCTGGGGTGCGCAACAACAAGATGGCCATCTTTCGTTTGCATGACGTCGATGTCAAAACAACAGATCTGGGAGACATCCAGAGGCACACCGCAGCCACTTTAGTGTACCACATGAAAAGCAGCAGCAGTAAAGAATATGAGAGGAACTGCCAAGGTTCGTGCATAACGTCCTGACATCACCCGCTGGCCAAAAGAGCATTGTTGGGCAGTTCCTGAGTGCAATCAAGTCGTAGCGGGAAGAAATCTTGCATATGACAGAAGACTCACTGATTGAGTGCAGGATACAAGTGGAGCAGCTTGAGGAGAGCAGAGCCAAGCAATGATCTGATAAGTGTTTCGCCCTACACCAGGTTGGTGCCAGCGAAAGAGAATCATTTTCCTCTGGAGACAGTTGTGCTCACGGCAGAATTCTGACAATACCCGCTAGCAGCACATGTATTTCATGGTGACAAATGTATGCCAATATACCAACATGCAAAGCAATGCAAACACTGCAATTGACACCGCTCCGCTGCGATAGGCAGCGCAGCTTCTCAGCGTTTTCCGTGCATTGTGCCTCGTTCCTCGTAGACTACGACACAAATTCTTCGCTTGAATCCACTCACAGCTCCACACACAAGCACCGCGAGCACTCCATTCAAATGACCCACCAGCCAGCCTTCGCCAAGCAAGAATTTCTATTCCCACTCTCCATCCCCTGAGCTCTCAGGGCGAAGATTGCACGCCCCCTGCGGATCACTTGCCTTGTGCTCCCACGCAGCCCGAATGGCATTCCGACCCGGTCGCGGGAATCCCAACTCGGGAGCAGCCCCTCTGTGGGCGCACACTTCAATCTCAGCTGCCGTGTCGCACAGCAGCCCCGCTGGCTTCAGATCGTCGCGCGGGATCTGTCAGCGGCGTGGAGCAGCGGTTGGGTGTGGGTGTCAGCGCCGATGCAATGGTGTCCCAATCCCGAGGAGGGACACGGAGCTGATTCGGTGTGCACCTGGCGTGTTGCGAGGAAGTAGAAAGCAATGATGGAGCCAAGGAGCAGCAGGAGAGCTTTCTGCTCTCGCAGCCACCTTGTGGCCACCATCTCGAGCCGCGAACGTGCCCAGGAACAGCCTCTCCAGGGGTGTCGGGTCCACCGGCTGCGGAAAGAGTACTGGAGCCAAGTACCAGCAAACCGCCCATTGGTGTTCACATATGCCTGGTCGGTCATGGGCCCCTCAAGGTTCGCAAGTTCCCTCTCCGGAACTTGAGGCCGCAAAAGTGGTCACTGCATCTGGTCTGGATCGCGTCACGTGAGGGTTCCGGTCCGGTAGCTGTGCGGCGGCCTTGCGCCCCATGTGCTTCCTCTTGGTGTGAGATCGTGTTTCGGCACCGGGTGCCGCGGCTTCCCGGTGGGGGCAACTCGCCCTCCCCCCCGCATGCTAGTACATTAGCTCTTCACTGCAAGTTCGTTACATTTCCCCCTCCACAACGGCTGTCCACTACATCATCCGCCCTTTCCCGTCCCCCACCCCCCCGCCCGCTACATCATCCGCCCTTTCCCCGCCCCGCCCCCCGCCTGCCCGCTACATCATCCGCCCTTTCCCCGGCCCCGCCCCCCGCCCGGCCGCTACATCACCCGCCCTTGCCGCCCCCCCCCCTCCTCCCGGCCTGCCCGCTACATCATCCGGCCCTTTCCAGCGCTCGTGGTCCACGAGACCGTGGGGCAGACCGTGGAATGGGGGGGCCACCACGCCATCGCTGCAGCGTCCGCCAGCGTCGTCTCCCACCAAAACATGTTTTGGCGCGCCAGTGACCCACCGCGACCTGCGATCGAGGTCGCCCTGTTCGCGCCGTTGACCTGCAAACAATACACCAACGTAGTCAGCAACATGGGTGGTGATTGGGTCAACTGGTCGCAGCGCGAATGGGACCAAGTGCCGCAGCGCGAAGAAGCAGGCGAGACGGACGATCTGGGCTACTATTTGCCCTCCCAACTGCTGTGAAGCCAATTTTGGCTCGCCGGACAATTGGATCGCAATGACGGAAGCGACTCAGAATGCGAGTACTTGGTGCTCACCCACGCGTGCCAGGCGCAGGCGCAGGCGCAGGCGCAGGCGCAGGCGCAGGCGCTCGCGCTCCAACTACCCCATACACTCCAACTACTGGCACGCTGATTGGCTGACCCTCCCGTTCCGTCCAAACCCTACTATCATATGGCGCCCTGATTGGCTGCCGCCCCCGCTCCCCCGAAACAGGCAGAATATGTAGCGCGCTGATTGGCTGACGCCCCCGCTTCCCCGAAACAGGCAAAATATGTAGAGCGCTGATTGGCCCACGCCACCCTCCCCCGAAATAGGCAAAATATGTAGCGCGCCTGGATGCCACACCCGCCCACGCCCCCAGACCCTGGCCTGCCCCCTCCACCCTCCTCGCACAGCGGCCCGTATCGCCCCAGCCCCCGCCTTCGACTGCGCGCTGCCATGGCCACCAACGGCACGACTGGCCTGGCAGGAAATCTGCATCTGGCGCCGCGACCAACAACGCTTGATACCTCCCAGATCAATCCCCCTCGACCCTCCTCGCACAGCGGCCCGTATCGCCCCAGCCCCCGCCTTCGACTGCGCGCTGCCATGGCCACCAACGGCACGACCGACCTGGCAGGAAATCTGCGTCCGGCGCCGCGACCAACAATGCTTGATACCCCCTAGATCATCTCTCCCCCCCCCCTCCCACCCTCCCACTCGCCCCTGCACCAACCGGCTTCCGTGCAAACACCCACACCCACACAACGCAAACACCTCCCACCACAATGTAACCCCCCCCCTCCCCCCTCCCCATTTTCTCGCCCTGAAGGCCCTACCCACGATCTCGACATGCAACTCGTCATTCACCGCAACTGCATGACACGGAAACTGCAGAATGGGGCCCACTCACCTGAAACTTTCCGTGCCGCTCTTCCTCCCTGCAACCCGCATCCCAGGCACCAGTGTCCATGCCGCAACCTGCGTCCCACGTAACAGCCTGCACGGCCATGGCGCTGCCCTCGCTGGGGTAACGGGGTAACCCGCAACCCACTCATTCGCACACAAATGCCGGTGCCCGCACTCATTCGCCGGCCATGCCGCTGCCCTCACCACGCTCAGCCTGGCAGCCTTGCAGTGTGACCCGCGTCCCACGCAGGAGGTGCCCTTCCGATTTCCGCGCCCCGCAATCCCCCGCCGGCGCTGCCCTCCGGAGGGCGGCATCGCATTGGGATCCCAATGTTGGAGGGCCGAATCCGCGCAGCCCGCATCCGCGCACCCCACCCCGCACCCTGGCGCCCATGGTGCCCTCTCGCCCTCGCAGCCCGCACCCCCCGCAGCAACCGGGCAGAGGCCATGGCGCTGCCCTCGCTAGGGCTGCAGCCTCGCAATCAGCAGCCCACCCGAAAACCTGATGATTATAATACTGCGGCGGCCCCCAGTGATGGCGACATCCACTGCCAGGTCGGCGGGGTGACGGGCGAGTTGCACGATGTAGCCCTCGGGCTGGGCGCACACGGCAATGTGCGCCCTCGGGCTGGCTACATCACCCCCGGGGATGATGTCCGCCCTCGGGCGCTTCGCGCCCTCGGGCGGACATCAATCCCCGGGGGTGATGTAGTCCAGCCCTCGGGCGCACATTTGCCGTGTGCGCCCAGCCCTCGGGCGACATCTAGTACATCGGCGCGGCCGCAAGGTCCCGGAGCAGAGCGTCGGCGACGGCTCGGGCGCTCTTGCGCGAAGGGCCGCCAGGCGGGTGCCGCGCCTTGGAAAAGCGACGGCCCGAGGAAGGCCGGTGAGCGAGGGAGGGGCGCCGTCCGGCGATTGCATCAGGCAAGCATTGCGGTTGAGGGCCCCGGCGCGTCTTGTCGACGCGCGAGTGCCGTGGCGGATCCTGCGGCTCGTGGGAGGTGCTTGCGATTGGGGATGCACCTTGCGGACAGGCTGTGTCGGATCTGGTTAAGGATGTTGTCGATGGCGCTCTGGCGCCTGACGTGGAGCACCTGTCGTGTGGGCGGCAGCGCCTGGTCGGGTTGAGACGTCTTAGTGTCTCCGAACACGCGTCTCTGCTGGCGATGGGGGGCCACAGATGCCAGACGGGCGCCCCATTTCGGTCAACATCGAACAGTGATTCTGACTGGCCGAAGGCTGCCGAGCGAAAGAAGGGCGCTGACGTGCGACTCTCATGTGTGGACTGGCTGTCGAGTCTGTGTAAATGCGCATTTGAGGTTTTGGGATCGCGGCTACTGGCACGGATGTCGACTCTCATGCTCAGGGGATGCGCACACGAATGGGAGGAGGATCGCCTGCGTTGTATTGATGTGTGCTGATGCGGTGGCGACGGCGTTTCTGTAGCGGACGCAGAACAATTGCTCGGGACCGTCACTGCCACAACGCCGTTCTGAGATTCACGCCCAAGGCTGTTGATGACTCCTTTGTGCTCATTGGCAACACCGTCGTTGACAGATTGCTGCCCGACCTGGCGCGCCTATGCCACGCCTCCACATTCCGCACATTGCGTTGCTTTCTGGACTTTGCCCTAGCCTTCCAAAGTGCAGGCCGTTGTGCTTTACAGGTCTGCATTTCTGGCCTCCCGAACTTTCTTCAATTCAGGTCCCAACAGTGCTCTTGCGGGATGGCCACATCCAGTGGGGGACAAGCACGAGCGGACGAGGAGCAGCGCACGCTGCTGGCCCCGGATGCAGGCTGCGTGGAGAGGTGGTCGCGCAAACATGGGCAATGGATTTGGGTTTGTCTTCTTGCTCGAATGGACCTTCGATGGATTAAAACCAGTGGCCGAACAGACCTTCCGCAGGACATGAAAGGCTGGGTAGGAAAAAAAGGACGCCATATTGGGCTGGTGCGGGGAAAGACGGAAGTGAAGCGCACAGGAGAGAAAGACTGGACGGTGATGCTTGATCAGGACAGTGAGACGTTCAGGGCAGAATCTTCAGTCATTGCTGACCAGTGGGTTGCAGCTCTGGAGTGGCGGGTGTGCTCATGGACCGATTTACTGCGGGGCCCAAATTTGATTGGAAACCTGGGACAAGCCCGACAAGCGTCTTGGCCTCTCCGTAGGGCGCATCTGGAAGTGGTGCAATCAAGTGCCAAAATTTTGGGCATCGCTGCACAGCTCACCTCAGAGGTGCTGGGCAAGTTGCCCTTTGCGGGTCCGGCTCTTTCGGTATTGGGCTTTGCCTTGGAAGTGGCATGCAGAGTTCAGGGCGACATTGATGGCTTTCATGCGGCACAGTCCAAACTTGAACAGATCGCAAAACGTGTGATGGAAACTCTGGAGCGGTTGCAGAGGCAGCAAACTGGAGATCGCCTGAAGGAGCTGTCAGAGCTGATGGGAGTGATCGAGGAGGGTGCCCGACAGCTTGAGAGTTTTGAGTTTCAGTCAACAGTGCGAACTATGGTGCATGGGATATTCAAAGACAAGCTGGGCCCAAGAGCAGTTGTGGAGCTGGCTAAGCAGTGCGAAAAATGGTTGGCAGCATATGAGGTGCATGACTCAAACATGGTGATCCACGACATCAACAGAAAGGTCCAGGACACAAGCAAGAAGGTGGATACCATTCCAGACCAGGTTGCTGCAGCAGGTAAGGAGCCACGGCAGTTGCAACTGGCCTTTTTTTGCAAGCGTGTGTTATAACACTGTTAAATGACTTTCTTGAAGTTGCTATGTCGATGTGGACCCACATCTGTGTGGCATCCAAAGTGGGATGGATTATGTTGTCTTGGTTTTGCTTTCAACTAGCGCCCAGTGACTTCTCCCTGGTGGGTTAACCCAAGACAGACCTGCCTTGGGTTTGCCTTGCACTTCGCTGGGTGTTCACAAAAATGGCCATGGGCATTTTGCTGCCCTGTCTCTCTTGAATGCACAGCACCCCTTATGAGAAGGGCAACAAGAGAATGTGCTGTTTAGTCACTGGCAACATTTGACTGACAGTGGCTTGCTTTGTTCAACTCAACATGACTGAAAAGTGGTGTTAAAAGGGTGTTCGTCAGGTGCCCAATCGCAAGATTGATTACGTTGGCCAGCTCCATACATGCAGTGCATGATATTGGCAGGATTCTGAAACAGTTGTGCATACCCACACATTTCTCAAAGCATTCTGGAACACAAGCCCATCTCTAAAGTTAGCGTAAACACCCATCTTGTTTTCTCCTTCAGAAGCGCTTGGCCTTTTGCTGTGGTTGATGGTTTGCTCATAACAATCTCTGAAGCATATGGCCTCTGGACATTGTGTTGTGCTGCAAAAAGCAATGACTATGGAAAAAGAACAGTCTTGGAGGTGGCTGGACGCCCACACAAAGTCCCACGACAGTGCATGTTTTGGCTGGCTCATACCATCGGCGAACCTTGTTGGTGTCACGAAAGCATGTGAATGGTGCCCTCCAATAGTGATGTAACACACTTTAAGCAAGCACTGGCACACTTCGAGAGTCTCCTTGAGGCTGGAGGAGCAACCACTGATGCCCCTCCAAATGATCGAAAGTTGATCACAGAAAGAGCCAGTGTGAGGGCGGGAAGCCAGTTGCTAAATGATGGTAGGTGGGTGCAAGTATTAGGCGATCAAAAGATGGTCCCATATCTGCAATGGCAGAGTTTTGTTCCAAGCTGGCGTGGCTCCCAAAGTTTGTTGTCCTGATCTTTTTGATCCTAATATTGCTTTTGCTGTTGGTTCTTTCTTATATCAAAATGATAATTTGCATTATGTATGTGTGCAATGCAATTTCCATATTTCCCATGATTTGCATATTTTCCATGTTTACCATCCCAGGGGTGGGGAAAGGACTTGCTTTTGGGAAATACAGTTGCGTGCTGCAGTGTGTTTAGGATTTAGGAACATATTGACATGCCCAACTACACTAATAGTTGCCCTTGTGCAGGCAATTTGCCGATTGTCAAGGTAGCAGACTCAACGGGCATGTCATTTGTGAATGACTTGGCATTGTGTCTTGTTGTGGTCAGTTGCGGAGCAAGGGAAAGTGCTAAGAACAGAGCTGTCACGGGTGGTGTCGGCAAAATTCCGCAAGGAAGTCTGGGGGCCCAGAGTAGTTGTCTGCATTCCCACGCAAGTGGATGCCATTGGTCAAAAGCAAGATGTGGCGATGGTCAAGAACATGCTGCTGAGCGGCAACACCACATACGTGGCCGTCGTCGGCATGGGTGGGGTCGGCAAGACCACCCTTGCCCGATGTGTGATCCACGATGAAGATGTGAAGGAGAGGTTCAAGAAGAATGTTAATGAAGGATGTCTTGGCGTGGGGTTTGTTACCATATCGCAATATCCTAATATGCTGGATTGTCTGAAGAAAATATGGGAATGTCTTTTTGGAGAAAAAGTGGAATTTGCCAATGTTGAAGAGGCCAAATGGAAGTTGGAAGCAAACTTGCAGGACAAAACCTATTTCCTTGTGATGGATGATATATGGGATGAAACTGACATGGCTGGGCTTGATGTTGCACCGCCAAACAGCCGGGTGCTAATAACTTCACGAAATCACAAAGTTGCACGTGTTGTTGCAGCTGAGTGCTATGACGTGACACCTTTAAACGATGAGGCATCCCATCAACTGTTTTGCAAGCACGCATTTGATGACGGCATGGCCCAAAAATGGCAAGAGCGTTTCATCCCGGCCATCATCGAAAAATGCAATGGTCTTCCCCTTGCGCTGGAGATAATGGGAAGGGAGGCTCAGTCATTCAAAGAGCGACAGCAATGGCGTGATGCAGTTGAGATCTTGGCAGAAACCAAGGTGTTGAAGGATCAAGTGTTTGACCGTGTGTTTGGTTTGAGCTTCAACAGGATGCATTCTGTGCATCAGGAGGTGTTGCTGGACATGGCTATGCTGCCTGAGGACTACCAAGCACGGGCCACAGACATGGTGGAGTTGCAACTCAGCATTGGATCGTGCGCTAGTGAGCGTAGGGCACGAGAAATTCTCAGGACTCTGGAGGACAAGGCATTGCTGAGGCAAGAAGGACACGATGTTTCTGAAGTTCCAGAATTTCAACGATCTCGCTCAGGGGTCCATTACTACTTGCATGATGTCGTCCGTGAAAGTGCACTGCACACCATTGCTAAGAAATCAGTGCTGGAGCGGGAAAGGCTGGTGTCACAACATTTGAGACAGGGCGCCTGCAGGGGTCAGGCACTGATGGCAACAAGGTTTTCTACCAGCCAGAAAATAAGTACTGACCAGGCATGGGCTTTGCGGGAGCTGGAGATGCCAGAGTTGAAGGTTCTCATGTTGCGGGACGCAGGGATGTCAGAGCTGCCACCATCCCTTTTCACTGCTCAGTTGTTGGCAGTTGACCTAACGTCCTCGGGTATCCCTGAGTTGCCATCTGAAATATCGTGTCTCCAGTCTGCAAAACTGCTCAGGTTGGATTGCTGTGACAAGTTGGTGCGTCTTCCAAGTGAAGTGGGTGGAATGTCGCAGTTGCGTGTGCTGTCCATGAGGCAGTGCAAAAGCATCTGCGAAATCCCAGAATCCTTGGGGAATCTGTTGCTGCTGACCAAGTTGCTTATTCCAGAATGCGGAATTGCATGCCTGTGCTGCCCTGACATGAAAATGTGGCGCAACTTGACCATGTTGGATTTGAGCAAATGCACGGCCCTCAAGCAGTTGCCATCAAATATTGGAGAGTTGGTGAGTTTGACTGCCCTGAACTTGGGTGGTTGCGTGCAGTGTGCATGCTTGCCAGATAGTATTGGTCAGTTGGGACAGCTCGAAGTGCTGATTTTGCATCGATGCGACAGACTCACAGAACTGCCGGACACTTTGGCCAAACTTGCTAATATGCAGGAGTTGGACATCCAGCAGTGCCCACGGCTGTCAGGCATCCCCAATACTGTTGGGAGGGGCTGGTCGATGCTGAGGATTCTGAGGCTTCAAGGAAATAGCCACATGACATTTCCAGAGTTTTTTGAGGATCTAGAATGTCTAGAGGTGTTGGGACTTGATGAGAAATGCGCGATTCCTGATGCTTGCAAAGGGAGACTTGAAGATCAGAAAATAGTAGTGGAGACAAGGGTGACGGAGCTGTGCAAGGACTGCAGGGTGAGTAAGAATATGCAACTGAAAATCGGCCATTGGCTTGCAGCTTAACTTTCCAAAAGCACAGTATCCTTCTGGCATGATATGTGTGGTGTTGAACACTGCATGTGGTGCAGGGTGACTACATTCCTCTTCACTGGGGAGCAAAGAATGGCATGGATGAGATGGTCAAGTTTCACTTGAGTGAAGCAAATGTGGACTTTGTGAACTTGGTAGGTGCTGGGGAGCCCTGCAGTTGCACGATGACCACTTGTGACACTTCATTTGCACAGAGCAGTGTCTTGCAGGCTGTTGGGCCCATGTATGGCAATGCAACAAATGGCTACATGCAACCATCCTGGCTCTGATCCAACACTAAGAACGATGGTAATGTGGCTGGTTCTGTGTTCGATGTTCCTGCAATGTTACTGAATCATCTGCTTGCATCAATGTCTGCTCCCTTGCCATGAAGGAAAGTGTCATAGTCAAGGGAGCATCATGTAAAAACCAGAAATGAGCTGCTCGTTATTAGCATTCAATATTAGGCCAGCCGCAAAAGCCTAAAACTGAGACTGCACAGCGATGGGCATCCTGATTGCACAGTGGCCCAAATCCAGCCGAGCAAGGATCCTGGGAGCAAATGCTTGGTACAATGGGCAGAAGTGGCAACCCAGCTGTCATCGTCAAGAATTCTTACACGTTGAAGCAAAGAGGTGGCCATCGGTGCTCTGCTCCACCCAAAGCAGCGGTGTGCATGGTTTATTATATGAGAACCCTGGACATTTCTGCTGTCCGAACCACCTGCAAGGTTATATACAATAAGAGTCAGACATTCGTGAAGTCCCTGGCTGTCCCATAGTGGTGAAGTAATTTAGACAGTGCTGAACCCAGTGTAATTTGGTCTCAAAGGCACCCGGCAGTAGATTGTGTGCGGGGGATGCTGCTTTCAGTGTGTCTCAGAAGGTTGTGCAGGCTGTGAGCCTTGGCTGTTGTGCGAGAGGGGCGACCGCCACATGCTACGGTAGTGAGGCACAGTCTCATCGCAGTGACGATCCCAGTCCCAAGGAAGATTGCTCTTGATGATCTCTGGGGCTCTCTGTGTCCATCTGTCATACACAACGGCTTTGTGCCAGCCCCGCCAGAAACTAGTTATTGGCGGCTCTGTAGGACAGGGCTGATCGATACCAAAAGTGCACGTTCGCTGTCTTTGCCAGTGCGTGCCTTCCAGGGGAATCCAGTGCCCTCCAGTACCCCCATGTTCTGCCTGCCCATCCAGTTCAGGTTGTTCCGCCCACATGCAGATCGGCCGGCTGGCTCATTTGCCAATCGCATGCATTTGAGGCAGACCAGCGCAGGCAGTGCCCTGCTGCCAGGCGCTGTTCGACCTTGGGTGATGACAGCCACAACGCAGCATACCAGGTTAGGTGTAGTCCGGGATGGGTGCTTGTGGCTGGGTCCACCTCAAGTGTGGTCTTTACGCAGATCAGGGCAAAACGACGCCAGATCAGGGCAGGCAACAGTCTTTCACCAACCACAGCTACCAGTTGCCTGGCAGTTTGGTGGCTTTGTAACACGGCCATGGCTAACCAGGCATAGTGTTAACAAGAGCAGCACAAGCAAGGGAAGGATTGGGGAAGTCTAGTGGCATGTTTGACTACATTGTTGTTGTGCTATACTTGGAAACGATAGCAGACATGACCAACGCCCAGCACGGGACAGTTTGTGAGACATTAGCATGCAAATGTCGTATTGCCAATGACATATTCACCCAAACTTTGGTCAAAAAAGATTGGGAAATTGACAAAAGGGGGTCCTCTATGAGATATCTTGACAAAAGGGGGTCCTCTGTGACAAAAGGGGGTCCTCTGCGGGGGTGCATTTGACAAAAGGGGGTCCTCTGACCGCCCCCTGTACATTAGGCGCGTTGCCAGACCGGCGCCAGACCGGCAAGCAAGTCCTAATAGGGGCGACCCCGCAGAGGACCCTCTTTTGTCAATTTTCCTCTAAGCGGTGTCATAGGGGTCAGTGGGGACTTGGCGATGCCATTTAAATGGGCCCCCCCCCCCTCCCCCCCACCCCCAACCCCAACCCCACCTTTGGTATCTCTTGAAAGCAACACGCCATAACCGACAATGTCACTCCTTCAAAGCCAGCGCAGTCTTACCAACCAACTAAATGTCCGACCGAGTAGAATCGATCGTTAACAGATCAGAGATCAGACAGGAATCAATGGACTCAGCAAGGCTCCCACTCACCATGAAGCACCTCATATTTGTATTCAAACTAGTGCATTAGTACATCGTTATTGTCTTTAGTACTGTTCCCAACCTTCCCCAATACAACTCCGGCTAAGAAAAGACTTTTTTTCCATCCAATACACATCATAGTGCGCTTGTCATGGAATGCGTGCCCCCAACCATGGCGCCGGCACGCTCTGACCCTGACAACTCATCAACAATCAGTCATTTCCAGACATAGAGGTAGTCTTGGTCGGACAGCTCATTATGGGACATTGTCCACGTCGCCACGGCGGACAAATGTGACATTTTGATGATTGCAATCAGTCCTTGTACTTGATAACACCTTGTAAAAAAGGTCCCGTGTCCTTCCCAGTGCTTCACACATAGTTTAGTTGCAACTGTGCCATGGCATCGGCACGCCCCAACCATGGCCTGGCCACACCCCAACCATGGCGCCACCATGCCCCAACCATGGCGCCGGTATGCTCTGATCCTGATAATTCATCATGAGACACTGTCCACGCCGCCAGGGTGGACAAACGTGATATTTTGGTGATGGCAGTCAGTCCTTGTACTTGATAACACCTTGTGAAAAAGGTCCCTTGTACTTCCCAGTATTTCACACATAGTTTAGTCACACTTGTGCCATGGCGTCGGCATGCCCCAACCATGGCGCCACCACGCCCCAACCATGGGTTTCTGATGGTTAAAGTCTTACAATCTAATCCTAATATTTGCAATTTTTATCCTATGGTTTCTCCACTTAAAACTTCTTCCCCTCTGTTATAAAATAATCCCTTTTTGGCCCCTTTTTAACCCTTTTCTGTTTGGTTTTTAATCAACGGCCGGTGTATAAATGGCCTTGATTTGAGGTAATTTCAACATGTCTCAATTATATGCAAGTGGTATTCAAAAAAATACATAAATCATTATGAGCAATGACATGATTGCATCGGTATGGCATGGTTTCTAGGCTCAATGGTCATTTCTCCAACTAGACGTTGGTAGTGACTTCACTTTACAAAGGCCCTCTTAACGAATCAAAGTGCTACAAGTGTCTAGTATGTACCAAAGCCCATGTTTTGTAGACTTCACACCAGAATCCACCAAAGGTGGGGTTGAGGTTGGGGGGGAGGGGGGGGCATTTAAATGGCATCACCAAGTCCCCAATAACCCCTACGACACCCCTTAGAGGAAAATTGACAAAGGGGGTCCTCTGCGGGGGTGCATTTGACAAAAGGGGGTCCTCTGCGGGGTCGCCCTTATTAGGACCGGCTTGCCGGTACGGCGCTGGTCTGGCGCCGGTCTGGCAACGCGCCTAATGTATAGGGGGCGGTCAGAGGACCCCCTTTTGTCAAATGTACCCCTGCGGAGGACCCCCTTTTGTCACAGAGGACCCCCTTTTGTCAAGATATCTCACAGAGGACCCCCTTTTGTCAATTTCCCAAAAAGATTTGTATGTTCAGTATCCATGGGCGTCAATGTGGTCCCTGTGATGCACAGCTCTCATGTACGCAGTTGAAGGCAGTCATGCCAGCACTGTTGGTTTGCTATGAGAGCCGAATGCACCACACTGTGCTAGATGTCACTGCCTGCTCATTTTTTCAGTGGCACTCCCGAATGTCCTCCTGTGCAAGTTTGGTGCAGAATCCAATAATGAAGTCCCATTCTTTATGTGGACCTGCACTCCAAGAGGCAAATTTTCGCTTTAAAGAATATGCATGGAATTGTCCCTGAAATGTTGGTTGTGTGTGTGAGCGGATGTGGCATCGGTGTGTGGATCACGTTTTGCTGCAGGACCCTTGCCAGTGATCGTCAGGCAGTTCGTGTGTTCAGTGTTCTGAGGCATGCATGTGGTGCCTGCGATGCGCAGAACGGCTCGACGGCCCTCATATTGGCAGCTGCAGGGGGTCACACCAGCACTGTTGACCTGCTATTGAAACACAACGCGTCAGTAGACCAGGCTACAAAGGTGAGATGACATTGCCTACCCAATTTTTCCGCAGCACTCCCGAAAGTACTTCTGTACAAGCTTGGCGCAGGATCCAACAATGAAGTCCAGTTCCTCACTTGGACCTGCACTCCAAGAGGCAAATTGTCGCTTTCAAGAATATGCTTGCAATTGCCTCCAAAACTTTGGTTGTGTGTGTGAGTATATGTGGCATCGGCACATGGATCACGTTTTGCTGCAGGACCACGCTGGTGGTCGTCAGGCAGTTCGTGTCCTGAGGTGTGCATGTGGTGCCTGTGATTCGCAGGATGGCAGCACGGCCCTCATGTCAGCAGCTTTCAACGGTCATACCAGCACCGTTGACCTGCTATTGAAACACAACGCATTGGTAGACCAGGCTACAAAGGTGAGATAACATTGCCTACACGTTTTTTCAGCGGCACTCCGGAATGTCCTTCTGTGCAAGCTTGGTGCAGGATCCAATAATGAAGTCCAATTCCTTATTCGGACCTGCTCTCCAAGAGGCAAATGATCGCCTTAGAGAGTATGGCTGCAATTACACCCGAAATGTTGGTTGTGTGTGTGTGAGCGTATGGGGCATCGCCATGTTGATCACGTTTTGCTGCAGGACCCACACTGGTGATCGTCAGGCATTTCATATGTTCAGTGTCCTGAGGCGTGCATGTGGTGCCTGTGATTCGCAGTACGGCGGGACGGCCCTCATGGAGGCAGCTTTCAAGGGTCACACCAGCACCGTTGACCTGCTATTGAAACACAATGCATCGGTAGACCAGGGTGACGAGGTGAGATGGCATTGCATACCCGTTTCTTCAGCAGGACTCCCGAATGTGCTTCTGTCCAAATTTGGTGCAGTCCGATTCTTTATTTGGACCAGCCTTCCAAGAGGCAAATCTTCGCTTTGAAGAATATGCTTGAAATTATCCCCGAAACGTTGGTTGTGTGTGTGAGCATATGAGGCATCGGCATGTGGATCACGTTTGCTGCAGGACCCACACTGGTGATCGTCAGGCAGCTCGAGTGTTCAGTGTCCTGAGACGTGCATGTGGTGCTTGCGATGCACAGGACGGCAGGACGGCCCTTCTGTCGGCAGCTGAAGGGGGTCGCACCAGCACCGTTGACCTGCTATTGCAACACAATGCGTCGGTAGACCAGGTTGAAGAGGTGAGATGGCATTGCCTACTCCGTTTTTTCAACGGCACTCCCAAATGTGCTACTGTGCAAGTTGGTGGGGAATCTGATGATGAAGTCCAATTCTTTATTTGGACCTGCACTCCAAAAGGCAAATTGTTGCTTTAAAGAATATGCTTGCAATTAATGCCCGAAACATTGTTTGTGTATGTGAGTGTATGTGGCATTGGCATGTGGATCACGTTTTGCTGCAGGACCCACACTTGTGATCATCAGGCAGTACATATGTTCACTGTCCTGAGGCGTGCATGTGGTGCCTGCGATGCGCAGGACGGCTGGACAGCCCTCATGGAGGCAGCTTGCAACGGTCACACCAGCACTGTTGACCTGCTATTGAAACACAATGCGTCGGTGGACCAGGCTCGAAAGGTGAGATGGTATTGCCTACCCGTGTCATCAACGACACTCCCACAAATGTGCTTCTGTGCGAGTTTGGTGCAGAATCCAATAACGATGTCCAATTCTTTATTTGGACCTGCACTCCAAGAGGCAAGTTGTCGCTTTAAAGAATATGCTTGCGATTATCCCCACAAAAATGGTTGTGTGTGAGAGCGTATGTGGCATTGGCATGTGGATCACGTTTGGCTGCAGGACCCACACTTGTGATCATCAGGCAGTTCGTATGTTCAGTGTCCTGAGGCGTGCATGTGGTGCCTGCGATGCGCAGGACGGCTGGACGGCCCTTATGGAGGCAGCTTGCAACGGTCACACCAGCACCGTTGACCTGCTATTGAAACACAACGCGTCGGTAGACCAGGCTCGAAAGGTGAGATGGATCGTCAACAGCACTCCCGAATGTCCTTCTGTGCAAGCTTGGTGCAGGATCCAATAATGAAGTCCAATTCCTTATTCGGACCTGCACTCCAAGAGGCAAATTATCGCCTTAGAGAATATGGCTGCAATTACACCCGAAACGTTGGTTGTGTGTGTGAGCGTATGGGGCATCGCCATGTGGATCACGTTTTGCTGCAGGACCCACGCTGGTGATCGTCAGGCATTTCGTATGTTCAGTGTCCTGAGGCGTGCATGTGGTGCCTGTGATTCGCAGTACGGCGGGACAGCCCTCATGTCGGCAGCTTTCAACGGCCACACCAGCACCGTTGACCTGCTATTGAAACACAACGCGTCAGTAGACCAGGGTGACGAGGTGAGGTGGCATTGCCTACCCATTTCTTCAACTACACTCCTGAATGTGCTTCTGTGCGAGTTTGGTGCAGAACCCGACAATGATGACCAATTTTTGATTTGGACCTGCACTGTGACAGGCAAATTGTGGCTTCAAGGAGTACACTTGCACTTATTTCCGAAATGTTGTTGTGTGTGTGAGCGTATGTGGCATCGGCATGTGGATCACGTTTTGCTGCAGGACCCACGCTGGTGATCGTCAGTTCGCATGTTCAGTGTCCCGAGGCGTGCATGTGTTGCCTGTGACTCGCAGGACGGCGGGACGGCCCTCATGTCTGCAGCTGGCAATGGTCACACCAGCACCGTTGACCTGCTATTGAAAAACAACGCGTCGGTAGACCAGGCCCGAAGGGTGAGATGGCATTGCCTGCCCGTTTCCTCAGTGGGTATGCAATTCTGGTGCACAATATATTTATGAAATTAAATTGTTTGTTTGCACACCAAGAGGTGACATATTGCTCTGAAGAATTTTCTTGTCATCATCTTCAAAATGTTTGTGTCTGTGAATGTATGTGGCTCGGCGTGTTGATTTCATTTGGCTGCATGGTTGCCAGAACTTTTTCCTCAGCATTCACGCTCACACGAGCACTGTACTCAAGCTACTCCTGTTAATTTGCCGTTTGGTCCTCCCTATTGCTGTGACTTCCACTTTGACCATTGGACTTGCTGCGACAATTTTGTTCCAATGCTGTTCGTGATGGCCTCACCCCCCTTATGATGGCTGCAAAGCGTGGCCACATGGCAACCGCTGAGTTGCTGCAGAGCAAAGCTTGGCCTCTACTAACGAGGTGACACGGCTGATGTTGCACTTGTCACGTGCACTATACCTGCTCAACTGTGGTGGATGCAGGCCGCACAAGGACGCCTCCTGTTTGTGTTTGCTTTGCAAATCCAAGGCAAACATATTTGTATCAGAAATTTCCTGTGATGCTTGTGTTTTGCAAGTTATCTAGTCAGCGTTATGTACTTGGCGCTTTGTGTTTGGGATGGTTGCCAATTCCAATGTTTGAGCGGGCTCAGAAATTTGCACACTTTGCTGGGACCATCCTTGCTGGGCGAAGGTGCGGCCCCCAGCCCCCTTGTGTACTCTATCTATGCATCCTGGCCGGGCGGAGGTGTATGCCCCAGCTCCACTGTGAACGCTATCTATGCAAAAGGCCAGCCTCTTCAAGTTGATTGTGAGTGCTGACGCGCGACATCTCGTTGTAGGTCATCAGTCACCCCTCTGAGCGAGGTTCCACTGTTGTGTTCTATTCAGGATGGGATGACTGCAGCAGAGCTTGCGAGCGCTGCAGGGCACCAACAGCTTGCCAGGAAACTGCGTGATGCTATCATCTTGGGCTCGCAAGACCAAGAGCAGTTCTTGTAATTCAAAATTGAGAACAATAGTCCCACCCGAATTGATTTAAAGAATGAGTTCAAAGGTCTTCGGGTGGTCATCCAGCGTGCTTGGATAATAATCTCTCAGCTGCAGGCCTTTATCTCCTGGTCCTTTGTCTGCTGTGAGCGCCCAGGAATGAGAGGTATAGTGTGGGTGTGTGGGTGGCTTTTGGGGCCCCTTGTGGTGGTGGGTGTGCGGGTGGATGGGGTGTGGTGATGGGGACAGGGGAGAGAATTGCCTAATAGCATGGTGGAGGCGCGTCATGACCATGAAGATTAGAAAACAGTGTCAATTCATGTCGTGTTGCTTGCACTTGTGCCATCAGCGGTGTTGGTCCATTCTTATGGTCCTGTGGTGATTGTGCTGGTTACTATTTGTTTTGAGACAGTGAAATTGTTCTTTTTTGCGACATGTTCTCTTTTGCGACAGTGGAGATAATTGATGCGCGAGATGTTGGCATCAGATTTGCCACACCACCCCAGCGCGGTCCACAGGGCCTTCTCTCACAATGGCGCTAAAGGCGTGTCTGTTTGGAGAGGGGAACAGAAGGCGAAACGGGGGCGTTTGGGGACGCCCAGGTCCCCACCTTGCGGAGGAGGGCTGCCACTGCCATTCAGCGATCATTTTGGCGCTGAGATTCAGCCGAATTGGCTGAGGTTGGAGCCTGCATTTCCTCACAAGCTCTGTTTTTGCCGTGCTAGCCCCCTGAGATGCGCGCAATTAGCCACACGGGTAGGCGGCGCCACCAGCTGGGATCGGAGAGTGTTGCTCGTGACGCCGGACGGGGAGGCCAAGGTGTTGGTTGCCAGCGCCATTGCCGTCCAAGCGTCGACCATCAAGGCGCCCACGCCCAGCGTTGTTGACTGGTCACACGACCAGGTTTTGCTGCCGGTTGGGGGCACGCCCTGTGAGCCACGACCTGTGGGGGATTGCCACTGGCGGCATTTCAGCGCTTGGCACAACCTAGTGCCCACTTGGCACCGCCCGGCCCTGTGCGTGACCCAGAACCCAAACAAGCACAGCGTTGACTCGTGAAGTTCGAGGAAGCGGAACAACGATCCCTCAGGCGGTGAACAATAGCGATGGCGGCTGGCAGTGGCCGGTGGCAAATGGCAGGTGGCGGGTGGCAAGGGGCGGGCAGGCGAGCTGGTTTGAAGGCCCCGCCACCTTCCCAAGTTGTGCATTAGTCATATTCACTGTCGCAAAAAAGAGTAGTGTTAAATTATGGTATAGTCACCATGGTGACTAATGTGTGGATGATGTGGACAACAAATTGGCATTGCTGCGCAAGTGAAAAAACAACAATATGATGCATACGGTGACTAGCTCCGTTGAGGCAAAACTTGGGGTATGCACACTGACACAATCGGTCAAATAATGTTTAGATGATTTGACCAGTAGTTTTGATGATTTCGATAATATGGATGATATAATTTGCCGATGAAAACATGATCATTGGGTTGCTTGCACGATTCTGATGAATTTTGGTATGTTGTGCTTAAATGACATTCATTTAGATCCTTAAACTCATTAAGATCATTTAGGATAATGATCAATCATCTAATTTTCATCATCATAGGCGAGTGTGACATGCCATGGGGTCACACACGCTGGGACATATCTGTGAACTTGGTGCAGTGAGTCATTGGGCGCGCGGTGCGCTATGGGGATTACATAAGGATAGTGGCAAAGGTGTGATGGACAACGATAAGGGCGTGTCACGGTACAGCCACACTTGGCAACGGGTGTGAAGGCCGTGGGGTGCTGTGGGCGCCGTGAGAGCAATGTGAAAGGAGCAATAGGGTGTAAAGTACGTTGGTGGCTAGTGCTGTGCATGGGATAAGGGAAAGTGGTGATGGAGTAATGGGATGGTGTCACTAGGAGATGTGTGTGATGAGTTTTGGCGAGTGTGGAGGATGCTGACGGGAAGGGAGAATATCATAGGCACAATATGTGAATTCGTAGTGTGATTTGGTGTTTGAATAGGGTAGTTCAATAGGAACTGCATTTAGAGGGCAATGGTGTAAGGGAAAAGTCTATGGGATAAGGTACAGGTACTATGGGATAAGGACTCTTGTGATAGTGTTAGGGAGTGGTGCTATGGGGCAGTGGCAGAGGATAAAAGGGGGGGCCGTTGGTCCATTTGCGAATAGTGCCAACCGCCCGCACCCCCTCGTTCTTGGGCCCGGGGGCCTAATAGGGCCTCTCTCCTAGAAGACCTTAAGTACTGGAGCACCAAGAAGGAATCCGAATTTGGACTGGGGCCCCATGGGCAAACTTGTTCAAGCAAGGGTGAAGATTCATCTGGCGGATTTAGAGAATATTCTGAAGTGATCCAGTGTGGATATGAAGGATCAAAGGGATCAGAATTGAATTGTCAAATGATGGATCTTTAGATTCAAAGCAAGGTGTGGTGCAAAGGGCAGCATTGCATTTGGCAAGAGGCAGAAAAGTGGTAGCAAGTGTTGTGTGGGCTTCTCAAGTCATGTGTGATGGTTGGGTATATTGGGTTGAAAGGGTGATGCATGTGGACTGAGCATTTGAAAGTGAAGTGATGTTGCCCAATCAGGATTGATTTCTTGACGATGTTGATTATGATTGATCATCAATTTAAGCAATGGCTTATTTGCCCAGTTCAATATGATGATCCCAAACTCTCAAAGCAACGGAGTTTCAATGGAGCAAAAATTAAGTTCAGCCTGTGATCTATGGGTCCTTCGGGGCGATCACTAAGGGGCATGTATTTTAACAGTAGTTTGGCACTGTCGCAAAAAAGAATAGTCCACTGTCGCAAAAGGAAATATTCATCGATTGTGCTTGAGGTGTACTGATGCATGCGCATGTCTCCTTGCACCGGCGGCTACGATGCTCAACTTGTTGAGCCAATAGCTTCTGGTGCACGGTTTTCTACTTTCTAGCAAGGGAGAAGCGGGGTGAAACATTGCAAGAGTGTCAAGACCTGAGTAGCGCATTCCCCAAAGCGCGAAGCAAATTTTTGCATTGGTTGCATCCCCACCATTGGTTGCATCCCCACCAAAACTTCCCATGTTGTTTGTTCATGCACGCAAGGTATGGGCTCGATGGCCCGACGCTTGACATAGCTATAAACCACTGATAGATATGCAAGGCTTTCATGGGCGAAATTGTATTGCAGCACACAACAGAAATGGGAAAGTCCGTTTCAACGTGTTTTACTCCATTTAAGATTGATTGTGATTCCATGATTTTCTTGTCGACTCTACCAAGGATTTGCCTGGCAAGCTTTGCATTTTGAGGCATCGTCATTTGCACGTCACTCTGCACATTGTGCGATGTACTTTCTACTGCCACCACGTGGCTGTACTCTAAGAGCACGGCTACGGGGTGGCAGTAGAATGAATACCACAGAAGATTTCTGCAAGAAGTCTCCCAAGCAGAAATGGGGTCTTTCTGTGATGCCAACTGCGATGCCATTTGGCACTAATTGATGCCATCATACCCGTTTTTGTGCCATGGCAATCACTGTGATGGCGCCATTCTGTGTCAAAACGGCATCCCAGCTGGCATCACAAACAGGGTGTTTTCTGATAGTGATTTCTGCAACCATTGCGAAAATCAATAACAAATATCCGGTCAAAAGGAAGAGCAATTCCAATCAACGCAATGCTTTTCGGTGCTTGATCGGCTGGGATTCATGTAGATGACTGCAAGCGCATCTTGTTCACTCCTTCCCTGGAGCAGATGGCCCAATGTGGTGGGAATGTAGCACACCTTGCCATCAGCATACTACCGGCGCCGGCAAACGCTTCCCCCATTGCCGCCATTGTGCCAGTTCAAGATCGAACGTCCTCAGTGGCATTTGCGCTACCAGTTCAACACACATGCACTGTTAATTCAATTGGAATTTACCTAACAATATGCAGTGTGTTGAATGCCTTTGTTCTGGTCATCTTGCCAGGCGGCTTGTCAGTTTTCCTTGAACGCAACAGAGGCATGTGTCAGGCGCTGCGCATCCCTTTGACTTTGACACGCGCATATCATAATAGAACATCGAGCCACTCTTACAGCGGAGTGGCATCGTTATTACCCAGTTTTATGGCGTTATTTTTTTGGTGTGGATCTCTCTCTCTCGAGCTGTTTAGCCACGCCTCGAAGGCCTTGGCTTGTGGAGGCTACGTCGTCAATATTCACATCCCAACGCCAGAAACACGAAGGCCTCCGAATCGACCGCCAGTGGAGAATCTGGTTTGGCTGTCAAAGATGGACGCGCTGTGGCGAAGGAGGGGAGTTGCAAGGCCTCCATTAAAGATAGGCCTTCATTCCCTGTTGTGGTCATTGAAATTGTGGCGAGCATGTTCGCTTAGCAAGCTTGGTGCCAGTTGGACGTCCAACTTACAATGCGGCACACTGCGGCTTGGCACACGACTTACTAGTCGTGCTACGACGCGGCACTCTATTGCAATCTTGCCAAATTAAATGGCACTCCAAGCTGCGCGGTCCGGTTTTCCGAATGGCGTCTGCGCCTTTCGGTGAAGTGGTTGTGCTTTGTTACATGTACATAAGCCAAACTGGGTGTCCCTGTATTACCGCCATGATAGCTGGAGGCCGCGTGGTTTCATTTTCGATCTCCTTACCTGGTGTAAGCGTTTGCCGCTGAAACAAAAACCTTACTAAGCTTGGCTGAGAAGGTACTTCATCATTTATAATGCTGGACACAATTCTCTAAACCAAAATAGTCCAGAAGAATAAGCTCTGTACGGTTGCGTGTAGTTTTGTAATTGTGACTCAACGAAGCCTTTTATCAATTTGATGAAACTCTCATTGAACTGCGCTGGTAATCGAGTCACTCGCTGTATTTGTTCCCCCTTCTGTGATGAATTTAAATGTGTTTTACTTTGTGACGTATATGCAGGAATGTCCATGGCGATCACCGCGCCGCCGGTGAGGCCCACATGCAACGCGGCCACAGGCGTTCGGGCTGCAAATACAACAGACACGGAGCAGCCAGC